AATGGCTAGTTCAAAAATCAGTTGAAAAACTCGGCACCTGTACGTAGCTAAAACTTGAACCAAACGTTTGTTTTAGTGGTGTACTTTGTTTTTGTGAAGTTGCAAGGTGTAGCTTTTCCTTCTCGTGAAACATGAGGCGCACTCTTTTGACATTTCAAAGCTTGGCTGGACGCCGACGAGACGGCGGAGTTAACCGAGAATTGTGCTTGTGGCGCCGGCTGACACCATCGAGCGAGCGGACAGTGGAAGGCGGTTCGCGAACAGCGAGAGCGGACTGATAGGTAGGACTAAAAGAATCGATTCCAAAACAAAGTCGGCAAACTTAAATTAAAAAAAAAAAAATAAATGAAAAAAAATATATATATACACATACATAAGCATTGGATCTAAAAAAAAAAACTATAATCACGAAATTTTCACAAGGGGGAAGGAAAATAGGTCACGAAGTACGGGGTTAGAACTACAACCATGGTCGGCATTCATTGCGTTGTGCACCGACTGCGGGGGATGTCCCCTCGCAGATCAGCTAGGACCAGATGGGGATCAGCTCGAAACAAACAAAAACACCTGCAAACCACGCGCGAAATTAGCAGAGTTGGCGCAGAAATGAGAACAAACAAATTAAGAAGCGGCCATAGAGAGGAACATATATATATGTGCCTCTATATGGCCGCTTCTTTTTTTGTTGAAAAATTGTTGAAAAAAAAAGTCATCAGATGATGTGCAATATCAACAGGCTTTCTTGTTGATTTTCTATTGATTTCTGGATTTATTTCTATTGAATCTATTTCTATTGAATACTGAATATATCTTCAACGTATTGAATTCAATAGGAAGTCTAAAGACTTCATGTCGCTTCCAAGATGCTTGTTCTGTAGCTTTTCAATTCAAGAGCCATAGCTTTCCAATTGAAAAGATACAAACGTAAAAAAAAAAAGAAGTACAAATGCCTTGCACCTTAGCTATTCATTCAACAAAGGTTTGGAAAGCTTACCACGGCTTTCACTCTGCTCCAGACGGGCTGCCGCTAAGAAACTACACGCATCCCACAAATACACAGACGAAACAAGCACAGCGGACACACCCTGGAGCACTCACAACAGCCGAGCCACAGCCTTATATTACCTAGACTGTAAAGGTACTAATTTGGCCGGTGGCCACGTCAGCATTATTTAAGGTTCCATGTATCCTATCTTCTTCTCGGAAGTCTGTCAAAGGGAAAGCAGTGTTTCGACGTTCGTGGGCTCTATCTCTTAGTAGAAAGCATTGGTACAAGCAGTAAGTATACGGCGTAGTCGCTAAAACAACCTCCACAAGAGTGGCCCCTAGAAGGTATGCTATCGCCTCTCTGTATAGCACCAATCTGGACGAGTCGAGTCACGCTAGTTACTCAACTCTAAAATATTTATTTTATTACTGATTTACTGGTTTAATAAATAAAAAAAAAGAGGAAATCGTGATTTCGGAGTTGTAGCATGCAGTATGCGTGTTCTTCATTTTACAGCGATAATACAAAGACCGGAAACTTTATCGTTTTCCCTGTTTTGGAACGTCCTGAACACAGTACTACTTTGTTTCTCCATCGTGACACAGCGTTCGATTAAGGCCAGTGCGACTGGTCGTACTGGCCTTAATCCTTATTGGGCTGTATATTAGTTCAAAATTACTTACTTCTTTGTTAGACATCAAATATATGTTTTTATTAATCAGCGCGATCGCTTAAACTCCTAAACGTATGCGTTCCACGCATCGTAATTTGCACCGATTACGTTTTGCGGAAATTTAGAATCCGCTATCCCCACGGTGCAGCAGTGTACAGCGCAGGGTGCTTTCTCAACATCGATATCTTACGTTCGCTTTAACGCGAATACGATTACAAAATCACGGAGATAACTCCCAAAGCGCCATAGATATTTTCTTTGGGAGGGAGAGGAGATGGGGTCGTTGGTTGATCATATCATATACGACGAATCCGCGAAGCCTTCACTGCTTTACAAGCGTTATCCTCTCATTGAGCACACTCTGGGGAGAAAACAATCACTTGATCATCACCTACTGCGTTCGAACTTCTTCAACCTTAAACGTAAGGGCTGGTTCACACACTTGCCTGATTCCAAACCGAGCGCGACTGCAACGGATTGCGACGTGCGGGTTGCTATGGCAACAGCTTTGCCATAGCAAGCCGTACGTCGCAAGCCGTTGCAGTTCCACTCGGCCCGACTCGACGCAGGTGTGTGAATTGCCCTTAAGAATAGGGAGTTCACTCCAACGCCGAAAGCGAGTATGCGTAGAAGCTCCTGCTCACGCTCGCTCTCTAATAACAACAGGTGTACACCTACCTGCGGAAGGTGCACGGTCTTGACGTGGTGCACAGTCAATGCGTGCGTTGAAAAGGGGAAATCGCGATAACCACACAAAAAGGACTGCACCTCGTTCTCTGCCATTTTAAACGTCTGCCACCAAAGCCAACGCCGCAGACGAGCTTCGACGGCTGTGAGCGCAGAAAGCAGACGACGAGCACACCGCGAACAGATCACGTGATGTTTTTACTCGATTTTAACAGACGTTACCCTCCAATCAGAGGAGGGGAGTGCATGTGAGTCTCTACCAGGGTGTAAGATAGACAGGTGGAGAAACGAGAGCCAAACGAGCGACCGGATTGTGTCCCCCTCGGGTTTCTCTTTTTCTGTGGCGCCATCTATGTGGAGCTCCGCGAACCCTCACTCTAGGTGGGCGACCGGTGGCGACCGGCTAAACTGACGGAGATGGTTTCTCGTGGATTTTCAATGGAGGACTGTCGTGCTCTCGTTTTATTTTGTGCACTCTCCCAAAGAGTTCCACGCAAATCCGATTCCGACTTTTTTTCCTCTCGCCGCAGCGCCATCTGTCGCAAATCGGGGGTACCCGCAAGCAGACGAGTACACAATCCGGTCACGGCGCTGCGGTCACTGATCTCTATTTTAGTAGGCTGGATCGCGGATTGGGAGCCCGTCGGTGTCGCCACCGGCGGCCATTGCGTGACACCAGCCAATACACGCAAGTCTATGGGAGAAACGCACAAAAGTAAGCATATTGAAGCATGTACGCTGTGCTCAGAGGCGAGTATTTTATTGTGCGCTGCGATCCTAATGTCGGGTGTTTGGAGATCGAATCGGTATTTGTCAAACGTCCGGTCGCCAAATACAAAAATCAAACGTACCGGAGCACCTACGGCCGAGCAGGCAAGCATTGCTATCGTAGTGGAGTAAACAAAGGGACTTGCCGTCAATAAGACCGTCCTCAGGGAAGCCCAGAAGTTGATGAATGACAAAGAAGTTCCATCTCGACAGCGTCTTTCCGGGAGTAAGCGAATTCCGCGTTGCAAAGCCTTGGAGCTTGTCGTCTGCTAAACCCAACTCAACGAAACCGCCACCGACCCCGCGGTAAGTCTAGGTAACTCGCATCATTGAGCTGCACTACTGCGGAGTCACTCTCGACCACAAAATATTTATTTATAATAATTGAGAGGGCTGTCAGTTTGAATGTTTGTAAGCAAGCTATTTGACGGGCTTATCGAAAAGCATCCAAAAAGTTTCAGTGCCGAAAACAGCTTAGAAACAGGGGAAAACGGCACTTTTTCTCGTTCTTCCCGTAGAGTCTCATGCATTGGCTGGTGTCAATCAATGGCCGCCGGTGGCGACACTCGGCCCCAGCTGCCGAGGCCGCGGTCCGCGATCCAGCCTACTACAATAGAGATCAGTGGCTGCGGTAGCTTCTATGGGCCGTTTCCCCACCTGTCTATCTTACACCCTGGTCTCTACTCAGGAGTAAACAACCTGCTTCTGGAACGCGAGTTCTGACGTCGTCGAGTAAGCGCGGAGTAAGTTTTGAAACGCCATGGTACGAAATCTTTACTCCGGGAGTCGGATCGAGTAAACTTTGGAACCCAGCCGTTGACTCCATTGGTCGCCACCCTAACCCTCAAGTCGCGCATTTGCGCGTTTTTGAATGTGCGTTCAGAACTACGCAAGTTTTCAAGAAAAAACCGTAAGCCTACCTTTCTCACTTCGTGCATTCTGCAAGCAAGTAAATAAAATAGTTCATTCGAGTGCACCAGAATGGATCTGTTAGAAGTGCTAAGCAAGAAAAAAAAAAAAAAAACGCGAAATAAAGCTCTTTTTGCTTTCTTTGTTCGGGGGTTCACAACTATACTACTACAGTAAATGTCAATGTTATTTCACAGAATCTGCATAATCGGCTACTCTTAGTAAGATCACTTGCCGAAAGATTACAGGTAGGAATTTAACAAAATATAACGTTTTGCTGGCGCTTCGAGACCAGAATGTTATTCCCCGACCCAAACTTACAACATAGAACGATGCTTATTTACGGGAAAAAGCGACAAAAATTTATGGCTTCAATTTTACTTGATACATTTATTCATTTTGTGAAACAAGTGGCTGTCGTAAACAGTCGTGCGAAGCAGTTACCTTTCAGGAACAGTCCGCTCTCTATATTCGTTGAGTTAGGCGAGACATAATGTTTTTAATTTATTGCTGGACCTAATATTGCAGCCCAGTGATTGTCGTGGGGGGTCTTCTAGATGAAGAAAACGGAGCTAAAGCAAACAAAAATAACTGAATTGAGTTCAGGATTAGTTCATAAAAATAAATCACCAACTAATAAAAAAAAGAGACCAGAAAGTTTGTGCAGGTTAAACTTAATGAACTATTTAAATCTAAATGCGTATGAAACCCTGCAAAGAGGCTAAAAGCCAAACTGAATCGATTCCTTGGGAGCTACACTCTAATCTCAAGCCTTCGCTTTCAAGATTTTTTAAAACTCTTTTTTGTTGTTGTTGTAATCATTGCAATTGCGTTATAATATTCCCAGCGTCGGAACACAATTATGCAGAGTTCCACGGCGCAGACAACACACGAATCCTAAACTACCGATAGAAAAGAATCCCCTTATTCGTTCATGGGAATTTAATGGTGCACGCGCAGACCAAACGTGACACCCCCTCAGAAGGGAACGATCCGGTTCCGGCAACCGCCCGGGGCTAACAGATTGACCCTGGCCCACATGATGGCTTCGCTGAGGGACAACGTCGTCTCTCCGTCTTCTAGGTCGTACACGGGGCCCTGAAATTGAGAACAAACACATTAGCATGTGCTTTCTAAAGCCTCAGTCACATTGCTTACTTACATCATAAAAACAAAAACTGTTTGCACACATTAGAAAGTTTTAGGGAACCGTTTTTGTACATCCGATACCGTACGACGGGCCCTCCGGTACGAAACTGCGCATGCGTAACCGCGGAAGACTCGCTCATGCGCAATTTGTACCGGAGGGCCTATGCTCCCGTTACGTTGGTCACACACAAAAACTGTCTACAGAGGTGGTCTAAGCGTACACTTGCATGGAGAAAACGTGCTTGGAACGTATGCTTGAGGGGTACGCCCGCAGATACTAGCGTCATCGTATCTGCAGACGTGTCTTTTGTGTGATGTGCGACCAGCGTGACGCCGGCTTTAAACAAACCGTTATTGGAATACCGGTTACACTGGTTTGGATACGCAAAATCTTCAATCTTGAGTTTTTCTAGGCGTGTGCGAATAACGGTTCGAATTAAATAGGACTGCGTCATTCATGATCTTCACAGTGCAGGAAAAAGAAAGAAAAAATAGAAAGAAAGCCACGACAACCGGCTTTCTTAACATCCTCAAAGCATTCGATTCGAGCTATCACTCGCCGAGCTTCTCGTCCTCGGGGACACACCATTTGGCCCTGCCGAACGAATAGATCCGTTTAAATCCTTTGAATCCGAAGGCGACACACGCCATCTGGTGTCTATCGGTCGTTTGCAAGCCCGTGCACTAGAAGTTTGACATAATCACAGTGAGATTGAGCGAAGACGCTGATTGGTCACGAGTGCTGCGTCAGCGTTCGGCTGGGCCTCGTCTCCAATCAACACGCAGAAGGACACCCGTCCGAGCGCGATGGTGTTACGTGGAGTTAGAAGGGGATGTTCACAGGTTTTGATTATTCTAAGTGGTGCTAGCCCTGACCAAGAGAGATGGCCTGCACCGAGCGTCACAGAGATCAAGCGCATCATCCCGATAGCCTCCTCAATTGTAAAAACATTGTTTGAGACGTAATCATGATGACCTGGATGGCCTGTCCAGTGAAGAAGGAGCGGCGCTGATCCGAGTGCCTCGGAAGGTTACAGCCGGCCACCCAGACCTGGCCGAAGACACCTCGCCTTGTCACCTGGCCACCCAGTCTCATTGAAAGGCGCTCTGAAAGCACCGGACCGTTTCTGCAAAAAAGAGAAAAGAATTTTTTTTGCTTATTATATAATAGGGCTTTTGTCTAAAAGCACCTCAGTCATTGACGCCAGGAAGGGCGAATTGTACCAGGACTGACTTAAAAAAAGTGGTAGCAACACTGCAGAAGCTGTAAGCTACAAACGGTTATATTATAGTTTAAGAAACCAGACCCAATATAAATATAAATTGTAGACCGACTTGCCACAATACAGGCATATGCGAAGTTGATTTAATGAAGAGCAGATGCTGCAGTTGCTTGATGCTTTTTCACATCAGCAGGACCTGAACCACTCGTGAATGCTTCAGGTCTTGGTCAAATTTGATTTCTTGACTATCCAATTACATTTATTTTCAATGAAAAGACCAGCTAGGGTGTCCTGACTGCGAGCAGTCAGTATTTCTGCTCCCTATTGCTGTCATGTGAGAAGAAAACAATAGTGAGTAAAAAATTGTTTAAATTTAGAAACATATTTACCTATTTGAAACAAAATTTCGCCATCATGGCTGTCTTAAGTTTAGGTAAACGTGCCCAATGAATCTAAAAAAAAACAACAAATTTGGCGAAGAATCAAAGTCTTACTTAGTGTTGTTGACGTCAGAATGGACGAAACTACCGATGTCCTCAAGTAGTTCTTCCCTGTGCAGCACCGCTTCGACTGCACCATCTTGCTTCAGGAGTCCTCTGCAATAACATCACATTCGATAAGCAATGGCAAGTTAAAAGGAAGGACAAGACAAGACAAGGCAAGGCAAGGCAAGGCAAGGCAAGGCAAGGCAAGGCACAAGGCGAACTATAAGACTATGGACGAGATACATTGGGCCATAAATGCTGCACACATTTCAACAGATACACCTGATAGAGAAGGCAAATAAAAGTTACAGGGAGTAGATTAACAAAGTCAGTACCCACCTAGCGTGCCTAAGCAGAGGGGCCACCACGGGCCAGTAGCCATCTTGAACCGCTTTAAGCGCCCCGATGTACGCCGAGAAGAATTGAAGCTCCTTATGCAACCTGAATAGAATGGAATTAAACATAAGATTTATTGGGTTTGTTTCTGTTCTTCACATCGATTCAATCATGTATGTTATTCGTGCTATGGGAAGGAACTGTCTGCATGCAAGCAAAAGCCGGTTGTCTTTCTTGTCGAAGCTCACAGTTTTTAAGGCGTTGGAAAGTTCCCGTAATTGAACACGTGAGTGGACGAATTTAGTAACGAACCAGTGATACACCACTCACAGTTGGTGCCCTTCTTGCAGCAGTACCCTAGGTTGAATGGCCTGCGTCCAGCGCAGGGGTTCCCAGACGGACTCTAGCGTCCAGCCCTCCTGGGACGTCCGTTCTGAAGCAATGGAAACAGGCGTCGCCCTTTGTCACGTATATCGCGTCAGTCTGAATAATTTTGTAATTCTTGAGTTGAGATGACAAACAATCTCACAAGCAACCGAGAAACAAATAGACCATTGAGTGCAAAGGATCAGACTTCAAACTAGAAGCTCGCATCAACACCCGCTTCATCGAAACAGATTTCACGAGGAACATTTCCCCCAGAAGTTTAGCCAAAATTTAACACAGCGCGACGTTTTGTCGACATCGAGTTCAGCGAAACGTCAAAAACAAAACGAACTTCGAAGAAGCGACTGCCATACTAAACGGATATTGTCTCGGCTCCTTTGGGTTCCGCGATTTAAACTCTGACTCACTGCGCAAAGTCGCAAACGCAATAGCAGATCGAGAAATGTGGGTTTCTTACACAGGACCTGAGGAGGTCCTGTCGTTGGTAATAAGTGGAAACTTACTAGCATCCACACAAAGATTAAAGAAAAGCGAGTGATAGTGCCACGTTTACCTCCCCCTCATCGCATCTTTCCCAGACATGATCACCCTCACAAAATTCGTTTATCAAATTGTCGCACTAACCAGTTTCGCAACTCACCATTACAGCTTGCCATTGCAGAATGGAACTCTTTGCCCCACCACGTTGTAGATATCATAGATAAAAATGAATTCAAATCATCATGTGAACGTTTGTTTCACTTTTCCATGGAATGAATCGCGGGATGGTGTCTTTCTAGTTTTTCCTGTGCAAAGATGGTCTTTTCTCTCTTTTTGTAGCCTGGTTGGCATGTTGTTTCCTGTTTGTGTAAAAGTGTATTCCTTTCGAGTGGGTGCATTGCATTGTTTCTTGTTTATTAAGCAAATATGTACGATATGTATCGTTTCAATATTTTTGTCGAAAACCTTGTACTCCCCCCCTCATACAATGCCCGAAAGGGCGCTTTGAGGTAAATTAAATAATAAAAAAAAAATAATTACACCAAGGTGAGTTAGAACAGTAAAAATGGCATAAACGAAGGAGGCAAGAGTTTTAAACGCTGTACTACATTTCGGCACATGACACTTCAGGTTCCGCTCTGGAGAACCATACTCCGTTTCACTTTAGGCCCGATCGCAGCCAAGGATATGATATGACGCGGTCAATCAAACAGCGATAAAAGTGCATCGTCATGGCCATTGATGTGTATGTGCGTTCTCTATTATCGGCTATAAATCAATCACGAACGTGGGGTCTACGAAGCAAACCGTCACTCCCTATCTGAGACACGGTTCCTATACCTCTGACGATGTCCATGCCGAGAGCGAGGGCCCTGGACGGTTGTTCAGAGAGGAGGTAGTACTGCAGGGCCTTGTGCGCGTCTCCGTTTTCTTCGTGCATCGTGGCTAGAGAGATGCACTCTTCAACGGGAGGCAGGCCGGCCTGTTTTTGAGTGATATACCGGAGAAGACATACGTCACATTGTGCTGTGGTACGTTTTCCGTGGATCGGGGACCATTTAGAAATTGCCCAAAGCTTAAAAAGACAAAAAAAAAAGATTTTGGGTGATACTTTAGCTTGGGCGAGGTGGTTCATGTTTACACTTCACGGCGCACAAGAACAGACACACTTGAAAAGTGCACTCACACAAAGAAAGAACACTCCCACTGCGCTGACTCTCAACTCTGGTTTGTATTGTGCTTCCCCTTCATCTTATTTTACTCATATATAGCTACGGCTGATATAACTATATATCGTTTCCTAAATAGTCTAACTTTTTTTTTTTTATAAAGCTATATTTAGATTGCTTTATACAAAAAAAGTTTGACTATTTAGGAAGAAAAAATATATAAGAGTAAAATAGGATGAAGAGGAAGCACAATACAAACCAGAGTAGAGTGTTCTTTTTCGTGTGAGTGAACTTTTTAAGTGTCTCTGTTCTTGTGCACTGCGAAGTGTAAGCCTTATTTTATTGGTATATCCCAAAGGAGCTCCAAACGCACGGAATTCATAGGTCCTCTATGACGTCATGGTTTCACCTGAGGTCAAAGTGTCAGGTGACATCGTGATGTGACATGACGTTGCAGCGGCCTGTGACGTCACAATTATTTTTCTACTTTATGGCAAAGTCTGTGAGTCTACGTCCACACTTCTCAGCAGTGCACACATGCGCGTGGAGGAGTACCCTTCTCAGGCCCGCAGCCTAATTTAGTACTAGCATTTCAATATCGTTTATCTGAGACAATAAGCTGGTTTACAATGGCAACGATAAGAGTGGTTTAGCATCGTGATGTAACGATGGTTCTGAGGACGCGAGACATCCAAGAGATGGGTGGACGAATCAACATATCATTTCAAGAGACATCTTTCGAAATAAAAATATATGGAGTTCTAAGTCATGATTCGAAACGTACGCCGGTGACAAGAATTTGTGAAGCTCGTGAGCACGTAACCGACACTAGAGTCACTAAATTAGCTACGCTTAGGGTATCGTCGCTTTGTTTTCGAATATTATTGTGGGCGCCGCCATCTTGGTGCTTGTGCAGTGCACACGTAACTGCCGATCGTCATAATTCAAAAGTGTGATTTCTTCAGCATTAGATTCGGTGTTAGGAAGTTCATGCAATATTCATTTGCTCCGTCGCAAACAGTTTAAACATTTGTGGAGGACGGAGAATCGTTTCCTCCGATTTCAGAAAAAAAGCTTCAGATGACTGGCAACCATGATTTTAAGCCACAAGATAGGTAAGTGTCGTTACTCTGAAGCGCAGATTATTTAGTGGCACTAACTAACACCACAAGGCCATAGAGCTGGACTTCTGACGTCACATAAAGAAGGCCAATGCAGCGCACAGATTGGACCCGAGTGCTGCGTCAGTCTTCGGATCGGGGTGGTGTCCAATCAGTGATAACACGAATCCCAGCCGAGCGTTGACGGAGCGCTCCAACGGTTGTGCTGCGTCGGCCTTCTTTTTCGATTTTGTTATCGAGGAGGTGTATGGGGTTACACCGCGATAAGTGCGGACGAGCGAAGGACGAAGAAACCTAGCGTCGTTGCGAAACGACGTCACTGGCCTTTTCGTGGAGCGCGTTCCTCTCGGCCAATGAGCAACCGCAGCCGGCGAGGATCTCGACCCTGGCCGAGTGGGCATCGTCGCAGAGGGCCAGCACGTCCATGGCCAACTCCCTGGACAGCAAAGCTCCTTCATGATTATCAAGAACGGAGTAAGTACACGTTGAACAAGAGGCGTCAAAACAAAAAGAGCGGTGGGGAGGGGGGGGGGGGGGGGGGAAGGAGGGGGGAGAGTTCCCCCCGCCCTTAAAATTTCCGCTTTTTAAAATTTTTATTTGGAATACATAAACGGTTAGCGTGAAAGACAAAGAAAAGGTGGATTTCTGGTGCGTGCACTGCTTTACCGCGCTCGTCCAATGCCACCTAGGAGACAGAGCTTGCACAAGACGTCATCGTTAGTGGGCACGCCTTCTCTTCAAGCGAGCAGGGGTTCGTCCCTGCGTTGGGTAACGTCATGTGCATTTATTTTTCGTTACACTTTCGCATGCCGCTCGAACCGAGTAGTGTGAACCCAAGAACGCATTCTACGTTAGTAGTGTTTTAGGAGATCGTTTTTTTTTCGCTCCGATAACAATACCCGATCACGATACGATGCGATGCAAGTGTAAAAAGGCGCCGGCGCAGTATCGGGTAGCGTTAAACTAGCAATTAAAAATGAAAGCCGTTTACAACTCCCTGTAACGCCGAATGAGAGCGCAGCTCTTGAGGAGGAGGAGGGGTGCCCCTCCTCCTCTTCTGCTTGCCCCATTTAGGGGAAAAATTTCCGCTAGATTTAGCGGGGAAAATTTCCCGCTAGAGTTAGCGAGGAAATTTTTCGCTAAGTTTAACGGGGAAATTTACCTGTCATGCACCGCGCGGTTACGCCGACGCCGCTAGAAACGGGCACCTAAGAGCTGTGCTCTTAGGTGCCCGTTTCATTCTATTCTACTAGAACTCCCTGTGATACGAGACGAAGTCAGACGTACCAATTTCCGACGGCACAGCACCTCCACGCAAGCCAGGTGGCCACGTGTTGGGCGTTGACGGCGGGGCCTCCTCCGCGTAGCGCCACGCTCAGGGCCAGCTCCAGTTCGTTGCCTTGGACGAGGGTCCGGACTGCGGACTGAACAACGCGTCGGTCTCGGTAAACGGACATTCGAAATGCCAGCTCACGATCTAAACGTGAAGACCGCCGCCGACCAGCAAAACGACCATCCCGAACAACTCGATGCATTTTCCTATAAGAGTATTTCGTGCTATACGCGCGGTGTACCGCCTGGGAGAGGCTGCGGTTTCCGCTCGTTGTTCGGTTAAACCAGACACAATTAAGTGTCTACGCCTCGTTCAACGGCGACGAACGACGTCAACGTTGGATATCGTGTGGCCTTCCATGGAAGCCACAAGCCACTATGTATATCGACCGACACACTGTGTTTATAAACGCGTCCGCGTCTACACACAACGGGTGTGGGCATTGCGCTTGCGCAGAAACCAAATTCGCCAGAGGGGAAGCATCTGCGCATGCGCAGTGCAGAGACCAGCGCCACCACAGTGGCATGACGTCAGAGAGTGTAGGCGGAGCGCAAGTTCGTCTGCTCTATGCGCAGGGGTTTGGCGGTGACGTCAGAACGTCGCGAGCTCTGATTGGCCCGATTAGAAGGAACGTGGGTAGACCTGAATGCAGTTAGAGTTGAGGTCTACTCACTATCGTTCCGATCGGAGCCATTCAGAGCTCGGTGTTGTGATGGCACCGCAAACCCCTGCGTGCAGGGCGGGGCCTATCGTCATCGCGCTTCGTGATTGGTTTGCTTTGGCTTTCTTATTCGCAAATGCTGCAATCTCATTGGCTGAGAAGCAATAATGAGATGCGCGGGACTCAACACGTCCCGAGTTTCTTAAGATTACAGTTGCTGTACATATATGGCTTGCACGTGACGTCGCGGCACCCTGGTGGCCGTCACTGAGAAGAACAGATTCGATGGTGCCAAATCTGTGCTGCTGAAAATAACAGGCACATGAGCATGATACGGAGCAATGGCGACTGGTGTGACGTCAATCCAAACCATCCTACTTCAACTGCAACTTAAAAAAAGAAAAGGCTATATTCTCGAAGCGAAACAAAAATAAAATATATGACCTTGAAATGCTGTTTTCATTTGAAGAAAAAAAAAACTGCAGTATATTAAGTTGCACGGCTGCTGATGCAGCAGGTGTAACTTAATTTAAGTCACACCATGTACACCCAAATAATATGCAGTTTTTTTTTTTCTACCGTAAAAATACTCTACGCGTCGCCGCATGCTCATTCTGCGCACAAATATCGCGCTAGTGGTCGGAACTAAATGCCAAAGTTCCAAACCTAATCTTTATTTTATTCAAAAGTTACAAAAGTGATTTTCTAAACTTTTCAAAGGGAAAATGGTGGCCGACGGGGAACTCTCGAATGCATGGAGCTGAATGGCGCCTGTTACCGAAAACGGACAAAAAAAAGCGGGCCCCATTTTAACGCGACAGCGTTTAGGAGCTCGTGTCGCAGAAAATCCGGCGCCGGCATCGACGGGTCCAAAAGAATCCCATAATGCAACGCGCGCAGCCACGGGTGTCGCACGTGACGTCACACGTGGTTGGGCGCGTTGCATTATGAAATTTGGCGGGAAAATTTAGTGGAAATCTTTTCCGTCAAATTTAGCGGAAACCTTTCCTGCCAAATTTAGCAGGTCGATAAGGTCATAACGTCACAGCCACGTGCGACGTCACGTGACGCGTGACGCTACGGACTAGGACAAGCACACACGCTTGCATGCACGGCTTGGCAACGAGCACACGTTTATATGAGAAGACTTTGAGAACGGGACCCGATACAATACATTACAATAATACGATAAACTTCATTTTCATTATACGCTATACGCTATCGCGTTCCACTCTATACGATAATACGCTATCGCGTTCCACTCTTAAAGGCGAAGCTTAAGTGGCCTCAAGTTATTCCCATTAAAATTGAAAACAAAAATCACGTCTAACTTTTAAATGAGACAACGGTTAGTTGAAAAAATTTGGCATCCTGTCAGTACCACTAGCGCTACATTTTAGCAGAGAATGAGCGTTCGACGACGCGTAGATTACTTTAGCAATAAAAGAAATAAACACCTTTTTCTTTTTGAGGGCGGGCGCATGTTGTACTTTTTACAAACTCGGAAAAAGTGCAAGCTCCGAACTCAGTGAGCCAACAAGTCACAGAGTATGGCACGTGAGCACGCGCTATCAGAGTAAACCCCTGTGAGGCGTTGTCACGTGCACAGCTCCGGCGCTCTTACTGGCTTATTAGGGCCGTTTATTTTTCGTTTGATACAACATGGAGAAATTGAGCTTAAATCTTCACGAATGTCGAGGTCGGATAGTATGGTCACGGAGTTCTTAATATTCCACAAATGAGGACTGGCATCTTCCTTTTATCTAGCAACCGGCACAGTGGGTGCAAAGCTTCATCGCGAACCTGCTTACCTGCAGACAGCATAGCCGCAAGGGTCAGCGTATTATGATAAAACGTGCTCGGGGGCCAGCACGTATCAGTAGAATGACGTCTCAATAGTTCTAGACTTCGTTCTTGTGTGTAACTATCTTTTGAGCAAGGTATGCAGCCACGAAGAACCTACCTCAATGTCGTCGTTGGCCAAGTGACAACAGGCAGCCAGGACGGGGGCACCCTCTTCCAGGTACTTGTCCGACAGGTTTTGAGCGCAGTCTCGAACGAGCCTGAGCACGGCCAGAAAACGAGCGACCATCGGTGTTCAAAACATTAAGGAGTTTTCGTAGATTGTTTCCGCCCTCCCGCTTCGCCCTCTGCAAAGCCCTACGAGATACGGCACTTCGCAGACAAGGCCAGCGGCGCGCATGCGCAGTAGTGGTGTCCTCGTGGCGAAGAGCGTGGCGGAGAAGGAAGAACTACAGTATATGTATACGAAAATTCCCTCTGAAGGACTTTTCGTAGATGGTACGCAAGAGCTTTGGCTAATAGCGGAAACTCATGGCTCACTTGGAGCACAGAGAGAGCACGTGCCCGCAGGGTCCTTGCTTTCTCTGTGCTCTAATTAATTGGACACTGGAGCGTACGATCTACGAAAAGTTTCTATACTATAGTAACTGACATGACGAGAATGGAAAGAGGGTCTTCCAGTTGTCCCGCCTCCAGTACGAGCTTCCTACTTTCGAATTCGGCGCCTTGTGACCTTTGAGCGTGCACACGCAGCCAAAACAAGAAAGAAGTCAACAAGTGCTTGCCGGAAACTCGACCTCCTAAGGAGACTCCCTGCTGTCCTCATGCTCTCGGCGACTAAAACAGATATCCTATGCTCTGCAGCGTTATGGAAGATGCGGATACGGGCATGTGGCCTGGTAACTTTAGAGGGACGATTACTGGAGTGTTCAGGCAAACATATCAGTCAAACGACCTGCCGAAAGCGAACTATGAAATCAAAAGTTTCTGACCCGTCCAGTGAGCGCACGGAGTCGTGTTCATCTTCCTTCGTCGTCTGTGGCTCCCGGGGCCCTGGATCCGGCTGAAGATGCTGGCGCAGCCGATCGTCAGCGGCCAGCGCCATAACATAGGCGTCCTGGGCTTGACCTCGATTGCATAGAAACTCGGTTATCGCCGAAATGTCGCCCAGCGCTAAGTGGAGGCCCACGGCTTCAATGTGGTCTTGCTGGACCAGGGCGTCTGCACGTCTGCGCGAAATACAGGTAGAGAGGGGCGCGAGATGGCATCATACTTGCACAGTACGGACGGGTCCTAGCTACTTTTGAAGTTCTTCGAGCTACTAAACTATTTTAAATGGGCCATGAGAGTAACGATGGTAGTGTTTAAATTCAAGATAAAAAGTAGTTAGCGCCCATTCTAGTCTCAAATATACTCAATTCCTTTGGATCTCAGAAGTAGGTTACACGACATGCACGAGTGTGTATGTGAGCGTGGGGGGAAGGAGGGGGGGGGGGAGGGGAGGGGGCATTGAGTTTTTCCTACCAGCGTTTCTGACCATTCCTCTAACGGAATTCCCTTAATAAAAATTATTTAAACGAGACAATATGTAACGGATGGTTCATATATAGGGCGACAAACCCGCGACCGAGTGCTGCGATATTTTGACTTCAGGCTTCAGGTATACAAGACGGGCATAGACGCCCCTCACCGTTTGGTTAATTGGCGCCAATACTGGTAGGAGACACCGGGAGCCAAGGACAGAGCTTCATTCCACTGCAAAAATAGTGCGAATTAAAAAAAAGCTTTCTCCTAAGGAAGGTTGCACTGCAATGGAAACTTTCAGAGGCCTTGCGTTTAAATATCATGCGAGTTAGGTGAACAGTAGCCAGTGACCTTGGGAAGGCAATATGGCAACACGCAATAATTTCAATAATAACGTCCGTTTATCTTCAAAAGTTGTATCTGTGAGTGAGACACCTCAGAAACCTCAGACTTTGAACTGTCGCCACGGAGGGACGGGGCTTCGCGGTAGTTGCTACCTTAAATCAGGGCTTAAACCCTGCACACGGCGGCGTACTTTGCACACAAACCCTGGAAAAATAAGCTTGCCCGCGCCTTTATTATTTTGAAATAACAGAGTTAGTCTGGTACTTGCCGAGCCCAGCTCTGTCAGAACCTCGCAGTACTTCTGCAGGTTTCCGACGGAGAGGTAGAGTTGGGCCGCCTGCTGAAGTGAGGCGTCGCGGCTGGGCCCTCCGATGCCTCCGCCGCCGCTCCCGAAGCGAGAGGCCTTCACTAGTTCCAGCTCGTGGGCCCTGGACTGCACGAGTCGTAAAATACAAGACCACAAACCGTCAGCAGTGTTTTAACCACTAGGCTTGACAATGAAATAGGACAAGGCAGAAGATGAGGAAAGACTTCACGTTTGAAACTTTGCAGGACCGCAATCACTTTTATCATGACACGAAACTATATCAAAGGACTTCATCAGATCAGCAATTAGAGAGTAAAAACCCTACAATAGAAGAATACAGAGACGTAATTAAGACACCGCTTCTCAACGGCCGTAGACACCCATGAAGGGGCGGAGCAAGCCTCAGAACGTTGGGTCCCTATGATTTAGGATTTGGTTCAGTCTTTATTTAATTATTGTTCTCGGACGCAAAGTTTGTTCTCCCAACTCGGACACAAAGTTTATTCCCCCTCCCCCCCCCCCCCCCCAAAAAAAAAAAAAAAAAAAAAGCTTACGCGTTTGTGTTTTTTTTAGTGCATGACGTCACTCGCGTGCTCATTTCTAAGATGTATAATTTTCCGGTGGAACTTACCGCTCTGAATTTGGCCAAGTGAGACCGGTGGAGCAACGCTGAGTGCCTGTAAGCGTCTGACACGACCGCCGTGTTTGGCGCTTCTGCGACGGCCAGTAGATCCCAAAGATGGTTCACTCCTCGAGTACCCTGCGCGATTCCACGAGGGAAAGCAATGAGTTCCCCCTGTGCAGTTATGAACCTTGCTCAACAAGAGTTCTCCAAGCCCTCCTTACGCAGCGGCGAAGGCTCAAAATAAGGTTGATGTCCGGAAGAGAGTTTCCCTACCTCTCCCTCCTCAGCGCATTATTAACTTTCGCCGCTTGTTGTAGTCTTTATGCGTAAAAGGTCAATTTTTACAGCTCTAAGGCCTTTACTTCAACGAAAAACAACAAAATATGTTCGCAGACAGGCCTAAGCGTCGCGGAAGATGAAGGAAGGGTAGCGAAACTTCCATTTCGGACGCCAATCGCGGTTCGAGTCTTCACCGCACGGTGTCACCTTTATGTGAAAAAGGTTTCTTTCCCTTCGACAGCAAGACATTTCATGGCATGGGTAACTCACGCAAAAGAAAGTCGTCCACGCCCGAAGTGCGGCGTCATCCCTGGTCGACTTGTGCGTGTGCTTGAGGTTTCTGGCCACCGATCCGCAGAGCATTTCTTTGCCCCTTCCAGACGGTAGCTCACCTATCGCGGGAAAGTCGCAGAGTTGTCAACCAATGGAAACATCTCAGACTGGTTGGGATACAGAGGCTTATCAGACACGCCAGATTACATCCACCATTGCTGACCTTGTCTTGTCTTACCGAGATACCGAGCCACTGAAACGGGCGTTGACGAGCCTTCACAAAGGCAGTGCTGGGGAGGACTCAATAGAATCTAAAATGACAATAACCTGTCCTGTTGTGGTAGGGTGATTTCAGATAAGATCGACCAAAGGATGGCTAGTCGACATTTTCAAATCAACTGATGTTTTTATATGTTATTGTCTAGTGTCTGGTATGAACGAATCCAAACTTAGTTTTGACTAGAAAAAATACTTGGGGACAGGAAAAATCGTAAGGCATGAGGTGGTGGACAGTTGCATTAACGCGCACTGATGGAGGGGGCCCGTTTGAGAGTGAATAACTAAAGCGATAACATTAGGAGAACTCTAATACGTTTTAGGCGCAAACTATGGCTATAGCTTGCTTGTAATATAAAGTAATCATATTTATTTAAAATTTATTTATTTTTCTAAAAATTGACAAACATGCCTGCTCGAACGACAAATGGCAAACTTTGGAGGTCTGTATCTCATGAAATAATTTAATCATTATGATATAATTTGCAGATATTATTCTACTAATATATAGCTAATATTTAAAAAATAACTAAGGTATCTGTCTGATACAATATTTAGGATATATTTAGTCGAACATGAAAAAAAAAATCAAACAAAGAAAAACTCCGATGCGAATAAAAAAAAAACACCACCCTCGATTTTTTTTTTTAAGTTAGGTAACCTGTTATACTCTATTTCGGCATTCATTTCCATTAAAAACATGTTGCATCATTTTATTGAGAAAGAAGATACAACTCCCCAAAGTAGGGTTCTTTTTCAAAGCCTACACTTAGCAGTGTTTTATACAAGAACTGACTCTGAGTTCCAGTTTCATGAAACCAACACACATCTTTTATATATTTTTATTCAGATGAGGCCAATGATAACTAAAGAAATCGTTCACACACTTAAATTAAGGAGAAACTACTGTGTACAAAGAGGTATCATATTACGCACTAGTGATCCGAGAAAAGATCATGCAGCCATCGGCCACTAGGAACTTTGTTTACTTTATTCTCCTGCGACACTATATGCTATTCCCTCTTCCGCTCTACCTTCATCTCTCTCTCTCTCTCTCATATATATATCCCTGATATATATCCAGAACAAAAACATGTTCAAGCATTCCCTTTCTGCGTGGTAGTGTTCTGTGGCTAGCAAAAATCATTTCCTCGCTAAGCTCACGATTATGCCAAAATAGTTGCCGGAAAACGCAGACGACACTCGTCGCTAGTTCTGGCAAAACGGCCGATATAATCTTTTTTTCGCATTTCCCCGCTCGCTGTCAAGGACAAGGGGGTTCGCTTCAACCAGCAAAACATGGCCGCCGACGCCTGTTTACTGAGCAGTCATGCCTGTCGCCATCTCACTCGCTGGCGTCACGGGCGATAATATCAGGCACAAAGGGGCACACCAACCGGCAGCATTATCCCCAAATACTCGAGCCTCGCGTAAATACATATAGTGTAAACGCTGTCGCCATGTTATCGTAGTAAGACCGCCCCCCCCCCCCCTCCCCCAACGGGGGACTGCAGTACGCGACGGCGTACTAACACAACGGCGACGATATCGACATCGCGGGCTCCGAATTTTCCCATAGTTCTACTCCACGGGCATTTCTCGAAACGCTTGATATTGTGTACGCCCGCCTGGAAGGATTTCAGGCGCGTAGTTAAGATAAGGCGGTTCTCCGCGGCAAAAGAAAGCAATTTCACAAAAGCTTAAAAGCGGCGGCGACGCGTGTGCGGTGAACGCTTGTAGTTTTGGTGTAGACAGGGTGTGTGTGTTCTCGTTGTTGACACCAGCCGGCGATAAGGCACTGCAGGCGGTAGCTCAGTACAGCAAGGGCTAATCCGAGTGACCATCAACGTAACCCCACCGCCAACCCCTCGCGAACCGGTCGCCGACATGGCTCAGGCTGTGTCATGAACCACGTGGTAGAAGCTCGGGTGCTTTCATATCAGCGCGTGGAGGGACGACAGTGCGATTCCGGAAAGTCTTTTTCGAAGGCCGCTGACCACAATTTTTTGTCTGGAGACTTTCCCTCTTTCTTCCTTTGACGTGGATCAAGCTTTGCCGACAGCCTCAGTTGTGACCTCTCTTTTCAAATGTACGTTTGCAGTGAGTGAGCTCCTCAGCTTCGGACTTGTCACTTGTGCACCCAGTAGTTCTTTCACTTGGCAATTATATGCCATCAGTTGGGGTTTAATTTCTATTATTTATGTATACATTATGAAGACGTCCTGGAGCTCCGAACGAGTGTTTTGTGCAGATTACTTTTGCAAACACAAAAAGACTATACCAAACAGCGGAATTTTCGAAGTGTTGGCGAGTTGGACCTAAACTCGTTGAAGCAAATTCTTCCGCCTGACTGTTCCACCAAAGTGAGTGCGACGGACTACCTGTGCTACCATTGCTTCATGCACATCACTAAGGAGATCTCGATGCGAAGCTCAGAGCAGTGCCCTGACATATTTGTGCCAGCTGAAGAAGCAATTGAAGATCTAAATCGCAGCATACTACCTACAGATGTGTCGCCACTGAGACAACCAGGCGTCGTAAGAAGTCGGGACAGGCCTGCCTATGTCAAGAGAAAGCAGACAGAACTGGAGCAGGTTGCTGTCAAGAATATACGCTCAAGGCTACGTATTGCGTACGACAGGGACGCACCATCGGGGTCGTCCGAACCAACATGCTCCACATGCACTGAGTGGGTGGACAACTTTCGGCAGGCCTTTGAAACCGCCACCTCTCTCCGGGAACGTTGTCAACTGCTTACACTCCTGCCGTCAACACTGACGAAGAATGAGGTTCAAAAGATGATTCCACAGGCCTCAATGTACCTCATCAGTAAATCCCGAAAACTCAAGGAAAAGCATGGCGTGTGGTATGAGCCGGATCCTTACACGAGGTGCAAGGTGAGCCCTGAGAACCTGTCTGCTGCCCTAGAGTACTTCACGAAAGACGAGCTACAATGTTCGCGCCAAAGTCCCAACCAGAAGGACGTCATCTCTGTCATGCTCAACGGAGAGAAAACGTTCGTGCCAAAGCGCTTCATGACACGCTCAATACGAGAGGCCTTCCGTATATACAAAGACAAGCATCCCGATTCCGGCGTTGGGCTAACGAAATTTTATTCGTTGCGCCCTAGATGGGTCCAATGTATTCCACACCAGGAAGTGTGCGTTTGTGTGCGCTGCGCCAATTATTATGTTTGTATTGCCGCTCTAGAGAACGTTACAGGCTCAACATTCAACACTGGTGAAATGAACTCGGCATTTCTGTGCGACCCAGCAACAGAACTGTGCCTTCAAGGAGACTGTGATCACTGCCCAAAAGGCCAGTTTCTTACACTCCAGGAACTTGATATCCCGGAGGATGAAGACATTGTGCTTGCAACATGGGAGTCCGGCGACCTTGTGAAAAAAACTTTGGAACCTGAGACTTTCCTAAAAGTCATCCAAGTGACGGTTGGAAGTTGGGTACTTCACAACCATATCCGGCAAACGCAAGGTAAAGCGATCTACGATGAAAAACAGTGCATGCAACGCGGGAGCATTGTCTTTCATTTTGACTTTGCTGAAACCTGGACCATCGTGCTTCCTGACGAAGTGCAAGCATATCACTGGAAAAAAAAAACAAGTTTCGATATTTACATGTGTAGTGACGACAAGAAAATCTACAAACAGCTTTGCCATCATCAGTGAGGACCTGTGTCACGACGCCGCTCACGCTTGCTTGGCTCTAGAAAAGGTGAAGGAGTGGGTTGAAGACAACGTTGCGGTATACTCGTACGTGACGTACGTAAGTGACGGCGCCGCCAGTCATTTCAAGAATCGCTACCAGCTTCACCAATTTGCAAAGGACGATTGCCCACAAGCCCAGTGGTTATTTTCTGCATCTGGACATGGGAAAAATGCATGTGACGGAGTTGGCGGACTCGTGAAGCACCAGGCCACGCTGAACAACCTGAGAGAACGTTCAGTAAGCGCAATTCAGACGGCCAGGACAATGGTGAGCGTTCTATCCAAGAAACTGAAAGGCGTGCATCTTGTATATCTGGACGAAAATGAGGTTGTTCGGTATCGTGAACAAAAAAAAAAGAAGAGTGGCTGACGGTGCGCGCCTTCCCTGGCATTCAGTCTTGGCACGCGTGGCGGCTCAGCAAGTCATCAACAGAAGGGACCTGTGACGTATATGTAGCACGGACAGTCGGATCTGCTTGGAAGCAACTTTATTAAATGGGTACAGCGAGGAAAACCTTAGCGTAAAGTGCCGAATCTGATTTCCCAAGGACTGCTCATTTTGAATGCAGGGACATCTGATTTATCACATTTTTCTTCACGGGGTATTTAACCTACTGTTTTTGTTGGTGGTTACTAATAATTTTTATCTGATCACTATAAAAGAAATCCCAAAATGTTACCCTCGGGCAGGATAAAATATATCGGCTTGCCACGATTCATTCATACACCGAGAGCATCGAAGCTGCTCCAGTTAGGCACTATGGCATCCGTCACCTGAAATTGTTTGTAATCGTAAATACACAGCCAACCTAATTATCTTACTATTATATCTTTGTTTTTGTGTGTGGAAGTAAAGTTATTTATTTTACTCTAGATGTAAAATATACCGGAAGGTACAACTTCACACTGCATCATCTTTTCTCAAATCATTAGTCTCTAATATGATACCACTTTGTACGCTTATGTAAAATGCTGTATATAGTTTCTCCTCCCTTTTACTGTGTGACCGATCGCTCTTTTTATCAATGACCTCATCTGAATAAATGTATATAAAAGATTTGTGCAAGTTTCATGAAACTGGAACTCAGAGTCACTTCTTGTATAGGACACTGCTAAGTGTAGGCTTTGAAAAAGGACCCTACTTTGGGGAGTTGTTTCTTCTTTCACAGTGCAATGATGCAACATGTTTTTAATAGAAATGAATGCCGAAATAGAGTATAACAGGGTACCCAAATTTAAAAAAAATCGAAGGTGGTGTTTTTTTTTTATTCACATTGGAATTTTTCTTTGTTAGATTTTTTTCCCATGTTTGCCTAAATATATTGTAACTATTGTGTCACTCAGATACCTTATTTATTTTTTCAATAATAGCCATATATTAGTAAAATAATGTCTGCAAGTTATGTAATAATGATTAAATTATTTCATGAGATACAGATTTCCAAAGTTTGCCATTTGTCGTTCGAGCAGGCATGTTTGGCAATTTTTAGAAAACTAAATAAATTTTTAATAAATATTATTACTTTATATTACAAGCAAGTTGTACCCATAGTTTGTTTGTAAAAACGTTTTAAAATTCTCTTAATTTTATTGTTTTAATTATTCACTTTCAAACTTGCCCCCTCCATCAGTGCGCGTTATTGCAACTGTCCACATCTCCCTGCCTTACGATATTTCTTGTCTTCAAATTTTTTTTCTGGTCAAAACTAAGTGTGGATTCGTTTATACCAGACACTAGACAATGTCATATAAAAACATCAGTTGATTTAAAAATGTCGACCAGCCACCCTTTGGTCGATCTTATCTGAAATCACCCGGTAATGATTTAAAGAAGCGATGCAACAATTTTTGTACTTTGCGCAAATACCGCTTAAAACGGACCACTAACGTTAATGACCTATGAAACACGCTTTCGTTTTTCACCCCACGCAATAGAAGTCCCAGAAAAAAAATTTAAGAAAAACGAGCAGCGTTCACCCCTCAACTGGCAGCCAGAACAAGCGGCCACGTGATCTGGAGCCGATTATATGCCGCCAGTGTTGATCATAGCCACGCGCTGGGGTTGGCAAAGCGCAGGACACGCGCTGAGTTCCAGACAATGTTATGGCTCGGCTGTTGTCGTCGTTGCAGCGATTGGACACGGGTCACTCCCCGAATGCTTCCCGAGCTAGCAATTGTCACGAGCCCAAGTCGAGTGCCCACGCAATGCTCGGGTCCAATCTATGAACCGCATTCAAATATCGTCACTTGGGCGTACTGCGATCTTCGAGTTACGTCATCAAATTTTGCAAAGGAGAGATTGAGTGAAAATGATCGCTTTTGTCCTTGAAATTACACCGCAACAAAGCAGTTTCTTGGCCAATGGTGTTGCGTATGAGTATCCTTGAGTCCCAGGTGTGCCAGTAAGCTCGTGTAGAGAGAAAAACATTCCAATTGAATATCGTTGCACAGCTCCTTTAATGAATAGCGTTCACTCAGTTGAGGCTTCAAGATATGTTGAAGATATTCCAGACAGCCTGTTTGTGTTCCCAATTGACGAGGAGGAAGCCTTCTAATATTTTAAGAGCTCAAAAAACAGTAAAAGTGTTGACGTCCATGACATACCAATAAAGTCAAGTACTATATGTCATCGAGTCTGTTGCTTCTATTTTAGTTGGTATATTTAACCTCTCACTTCAAACTGGCGTTGTTGTTGTTTTTTTTCATGTAAAATGCAGGGAGCTAAGGTTTCAGTAATTTATAAAGCGGGTGATAGAATGACCTTGATAATTACAGGCCCGTCTCAATATTGCCAATTTTTTTAAAAGGACTGGGAAAATAATTTATAAACGACTATATAGCTTTGTGTGAAGAACACTCCATTCTTACTCCCCACCAATATGGGTTTGGGAAAGGATGTTCGACCAAGTTAACCCTGCTCGCTCAAAAATAGATATTTCTTAACAATACTGAAAACAAGCTCCTTACATTGGGTATCTTTATAGACTTTTCAAAGTCTTTTGATCGTTTAAATCACCAGACTTTGCTACAAAAGTTACAGCTTCATGGCAGAAGGCAAATTGTCCTTGATATTTTCTTCAGGATCTGACATTTTTGAAATCCTAGAAAAAGTTAATTTATTTCTTGAAAAACTTAATATGTGCACAACTTTAAATTCGTTAATTATAAACAGTAATAAAACAAAGGCTGTAGTTTTTAGGTCGAAGGGAGTAAAGGTTATCGATGATCAAGTTCTCACGTTAGGCCAGTATGATATTAAAATTGTATAAAAGGTCAAGACGCTTAGTGCATTTTTCAATGAGTACATGCGGTGGGACGAAACAACGAATAGCTAAAAAAATTATCAAAGGCGGTAGGCATAATTTATAAGTATAAAACAACATCTGCGCTACGAGTTCTTCATAACTCTTTGTTTAATGCTATTGTTAATAACTGTTTTTTATTATGGGGTAATACAACTGTTACAAATATTCATTGTCTTCATGTATTACAGAAACAAAAAAACTAGGTATTGCTCAAATCACAAATTTGTATGCGTATAAACTTGTCCTCGCATACAAAACCGCATTAAACAGCCCAGAGAGCACTCTCCTTTCTCTTTTTTCTTTACACTCAAAGAGTACTTCATACGCCATCCGTTATGCCGGTGCCTGGACTCTCCCGCGCTCCAGGACAGACTACGGGAACCAGACTCTTAAATTTCAGACCCCCAAAGTATTGAATAGTATGGTATCATTGGGTATCAAACTTGAGAATGTGTCTAATAAATGTATACGCTATCTCTTTGTCGACCCAAGGTAGGCTTTAATAGAATAATTAGGCGCGCGAAATATTGTTCCTAAGTTGCTGTTGTTTCTGATATTGATGTAAATAAGTTCAGCTCCTGTTGCTGCTGGGGGAGAGGAGGGGGCTCTGTCAAGCAGTTTTGTACTGCTTCTTTCCCCTCCTCCCTCTCTTCTTGTGCGAATAGAAATCAATAAACTTGAATTTGAACTTCAAAGTAAACGGAATATAAGGAAACAAAAACGGAAGGTCCGTTATGGCGGCGCCCATGCACAGCTGCTGCAAGGCGTCTACGTGACTGCGTAAAATCGGTCCACGAACACCTGTAAAGAGCATGTTTTTGGCGACCTGCAGCTACTCTCCAAAAATACGTAACCATTCTGCTATAAACAAAAAATTAAAAACAAAAGATCGTCTGCAAGTTTACGGTTTATGAAAGCTCCTTGTAAGCGGCCGCTCAAGTTTAGTTACGTGTTCTCACAATCGCGCCACGATGCCATGTACGAGGGCCGTTCGTAAAGTTTGTATTATCGGCACCAAAAATTTAAAAGAACGCGAACAGTATCAACACAAGCGCGCGTCCCTCTAGTTTCCACTCGGTACACACCAACACGCGGCCGTGACGTCACGCGGCTACGGTGGCGCTGCTATCGGGAGAGCGCATGCGCAAATGGTCCACTTGACGCGAAACTGGCGCGTTCGCACACTCCTGGGGGGGTGGGGGGGGGAGGGGGGGGGGGGTTTAGTAATAAACAGCGCGTTAGCCTATAAGCATCGTGTACTTTAGCAACGTGGAACGCCAAGAGGGCATCGAAACAAAGATGGCACCGCCCATCCGAAAAGTCGAAGCGCGTGCAGTGATCCGTTTTCTCCCTTTCATGGAAAGCAATGTCAAGGAGATTCATTCTGAGCTGGTGGCGATGTTCGAGGAACAACGCCCCAGTCTATGACACTGTAATTAAGTGGGCCAGACGCTTCCAGTGTGGCACCAAAAGCATTTCAAGCATCGCAAGGACGTCGACTGACTGGTTGCTGTAGTGGAGCGATTCCTGAACACTCAACACGAAGAGTTCTATAACAAAGGCCGCCGGCAAGTTGTTCATTGCTGGCAAAAGTGTATAACTTTGGGTGGCGAATATGTAGATAAAGAGTTAACAACGGTCTAAGTTTCATTGCTGAATCTCTATTCCTTCGCGACAATATTACAAACTTTGTGAACGCTCGTCGTATTTTAGTCTAAACGGCCGCTTGCGGACGCTGCTCAAAACGAGAGCGGAAGTGACTTTTGAAACGCTCGGGCTGTAATACTCCAATAAACCTATAGATCAAGAAGGTTTTGAAACAATCTAAGCCACGCATGCACATAGATGTGCCGACAAACAACTACGGAGACCCCTGGACTCGAAAGTAAACAAACACAGGAAAACAAACACATGCGCGCACAAAAGTGCATTAACGCAGTATGTTATATAAGGATACTGCGCTAATGCTCTGCGTTAACGACGAGAGGAGTGAAAGGCGCAGAACAGACCGGCCTGGTGTAGGCAGGCCATAAAGATTACTAACAAGGAGTGTTCGCCCGTTTGGGAGCGGACGTAACAACTGACAGTGTTTTATGGGCCGCACTGCGGTGTGACATTAAACAACAACGCCCTGAGTACAGGCTTCCGCACTGTGTCTTCTCCACAGCACCGAACGACGCACTAGTTGTCAGGGCGCGGCAGGCTATTAGCCGCGTCAACGTGATCACGCGACTTCAATAACGAATAGTATGAGAGAGGAAACGAATCAACAGTTGCACTGCCGTATTAAACAACACACCCCAGATAACAAAGCCATTTGGTTGAACTCTCGGCGTCTCCTACAGGAATGCTAAGTCAGCGTTTGAGTGAGACTCGTCTTAATTAGTGAGAACACGAGCCGAACTTTGACGTAGCAGTGGTGTGATATTTGTGCACCGCGTTGGCCTTCTATAGGTGACGCAGCAAATTCACCGGCTGTGCTATCCAGGACGTGTTGAACAGAACTATCAGCGTGACGTAATGGAGAAAAGTAAGCACGCCTTGTAAGAATCTGGGTGGTGTTGCTCAAAATGATTAATTTCAGTAGCAGCCTCGTTGCATCTGGGACACTTGCAATGTAAGGAAGCGTACGTATCAGCGTTTCATCGAGCGTATAGGACAAAGGTCCCGCAGCAGATGTCACCTTGAGCAGCGACGATGCTGTCCACGTCCCAGCCCGCGAGCACCTTGAGGAACAGGGTGGACGCCATGGGTAGCATGGACCAGATGCGAACGGTCGAGTCTCTCGACGAAGAAGCCACGACGAAGGGTCTTCGAGGATGGCATGCCAGACCTGCGTGAATAGCGCCAATATAAGAACACTTCACCCACATAAATTGCGCGGCTACAGCCAATTCCGCGCGCCTTCTGCGCACTGCCATATTGGTCCACCGGTCTGCGGAATACGTTCTGAGCGTGCGAAATAACAGCTCAGTGACTGGACATTTCGCCTTTTCTGATAATCAACAAAAAGTTGCATATGAACGCTCCCCGAGTTGCCCGAGCCACTCGTGCGGTAATGACATCAATAGGTCGGTGTAGTGGTCGCTATTTGTCCAGCTAGTGGCGCCCTCTTAGTGTAGAGGGGCGTGCGTGTTCTTTAGAAGAAGTAAAGGGGAGTTCTTCACGAGCAGCCGTCGGTGTCGGATGTCTTTTACTGAGCTCCGCCTCACAGGGTTTGAGAGGTAGGCTCTGAATCCTACATGGTGTCAGAAGTGGTAGGATATGGCAAGCTCTGATAGCACAACCAATTCCACACCCTGGAGGGGCATCGCTTTACGCCAGCCTGACAGCTTCGACTTTTCGAACGCGGAACTGTGGCCCTCCTGGCTATCGCAGTATGAAGACTACGCCTTTGCATCGGGTCTTTCCTCGGCACCTCAAGATGTTTAGGTACGTCTGCTACTCTACTGCATGGGATCGGAGGCCCGACGCTTGCTGCAGTCCTTTTCGCTGTCCGCCGAGGCGCCATACAACGCCGTGGTACGGTGTTTCACCGAGCACTTCGTCCACCCCGTCAACGAAGTATACGAATCGTCGCGTTTTAATCGGCGGTTCCAACAAGCGGAGGAAACTGTAGATGCGTTCTACGCGGAGCTGATGCGTCTAGTAAAGCGCTGTAACTATGGCACTCCGGAGGTCGAGGAACGTCTTGTCAGGGATCGTTTTGTCGTCGGTCTTCGGGACTCTCAGCTGTCTGACCGTCTTGGACGTAACCCAAAGCTCACGCTCAAAGACGCGTGGGTACAAGCGCGCCAAGCCGAAGACGCCGACAAAGAAAAGGCAACCAAGGCAAGCACGGGTCAATCTGAAACTCCAGGAGGTCAAGGTGTCAATCTTGACGCGACCAAGCTCGCAGGTCGTCTCAAGCGGCGCGGCACTAAGCCTAACGCCACCAACGCTGCTCACGACCAGTCGTCTCGCGTCTCTACGGGCAGGCCTGGTTCTTGTTTATTCTGCGGACGTTCACCTGATCCTCGTGAGGACTGTCCCGCACGCAAAACGAAGTGTAACTTTTGCCGTAAGCAAGGCCACTTCGCAGAGGTCTGTCTCTCCCGCATGAAAAAGCAAGCCAAAGTAGGCACTCTACAGCTTTCTGTAGTCGACGCCGGAGAGAAGGCTAAGTACATTGACGTCACCGTGAACAACTATACAGCGTCCTTCAAAGTGGACTCGGGAGCCGAGGTGACGGCTGTTCCAGATGATTTCCCTCGGATTCCCAAGCGTTTGTCAAAGGTGGAAAACGCCATTCATGGACCGGGCAACCACCCGCTTAAAGTGCTGGGTTCTTTCTCATCGACGCTGTGGTGGAACGGCAGATCTTCCAAGCAGCAGGTGTATGTTATCCAGTCTCTCGGTACTCCTTTGCTGGGCTTCTCTGCCATACAGGACCTTCAGGTCATCAAGTTCCTCGATTCTGCAGCCAAGCCTGCCGTCAACCCAGGCTTCACTGAGCTCTTCACAGGTCTGGGTACGCTACCCGACGAGTACACGATCCGGCTAGAATCCAAAGCCACTCCTTTCTCTTTGAGTGTACCTCGTCGTATACCCATTCCCTTACGAGAGGTTGTGAGGACGGAACTGGAGAAGCTCGAGCGACAGGGCGTCATTCGTCGGGTTGAAGGCCCCACCCCATGGTGTGCAGGAATAGTCGTCGTTCCGAAGGCTTCTGGTGGTCACCGTCTCTGCGTTGACCTTACGAAGCTCAACTAGGTCGTCCTTCGAGAACGGCACATGCTCCCTACGGTGGACCAAGTTCTCTGACTTCTGGGAGAAGCGACTGTTTACTCCAAGTTGGACGCAAATTCCGGATTTCACCAGGTGAAACTTGCCAAGGAAAGTCAGGAGTACACCACTTTCATTACTCCCTTTGGCCGCTTCTGCTTCTGTCGTCTGCCTTTTGGACTTACGTCGGCACCAGAGTACTTTCAGAAGCAGATGGCGCGCATACTGGAAGGACAGGTCGGGTGCGTCAACATGATTGACTACATTTTTGTCTTTGGACGGACGCGCGAAGAACATGACGCGCGGCTCAACCAGGTACTTTCCCGACTATCGAAGGCTGGCATCACTCTCAACAAAGACAAGTGCGTGTTCGGAGTGTCCGAAGTCAGCTTCCTTGGAGTCGTCGTATCAGCAGAAGGTGTGAAGCCGGATCCTAGCAAGATTCAGGCTGTCCAGGCGATTGAAAGGCCTGAGGATGTTGCAGGGGTCCGAAGGCTACTTGGCATGGTAAACCATGTTGCGCGTTTCGTGCCGCACATCTCCGAAGTCACCGCTCCTCTCCGAGCACTTTTGTCGAAGAGCAACTTATGGGCCTGGGGTCCTGAGCAGGCGGCTGCATTCCTACGGGTGAAGAACCTCTTGAGTTCAGACTGCTGTCTCGCCAAGTACAACCCAGTGTACCCCACAACAGTTTCGGCAGATGCCAGCTCCTTCGGTATCGGTGCCGTACTCCTTCAAGACCAACCTTCGGGAGAAAGGAGGGCGGTGGCCTTCGCATCTAGGGCCATGACCCCGACAGAGATGCGCTATAGCCAAACAGAGAAGGAGGCTCTGGCAACGGTGTGGGCTGTACGACGTTTTGACGAGTTCGTACGTGGTTTGCAGCTCAGTGTGGAGACCGACCATATGCCCCTGGTATCTCTCTTCGGCAAGATGGAGTTAGACATGTTGCCTCCTCGCATCCAACGCCTTCGTTTAAAGCTGATGCAGTACCAATTTCGCATGCTGTATGTGCCGGGAAAACTACTGGCAACAGCGGATACACTCTCCAGAGCTCCCCAGAGAATGGGGTCTGAAGACAAGGGCAAGGACTCCCTTGACAAATTTGCAATTGCAGCACTGGAAGACACATCTGTTGACCTTCCACTCCTCCCCGAGGAAGTCCAAGCTGCGCAACAGTCGGACGGAGAGTGCTGTGCACTCAAACGGTATTGCGAGGTTGGATGGCCAACGAAGCACAAGCTGCCCGTCAATTTGTTCAAGTATTGGTCTGCCCGAGGAGAGCTGTCGCTGTCCAAAGGAATTCTCCTCAAGGGCCCGAGGATCCTCATACCGGCCGACTTAAGACAGGCAATACTGAGGCTCATACATGAAGGTCACCAAGGAGTTGTCAAGTGCAAGGCTCGTGCTCGTGACTCTGTCTGGTGGCCAGGCATCAATGCACAGATCACTTCCCTGGTGAGCGGCTGTGAGCAGTGTGCCAAGACAAGAGTGCAGCCGGCAGAACCTTTCATATCGTCCAGCTTTCCTACTCGCCCATGGGACGTCGTCGGTGCCGACCTGTTTCATTGGAAGAAGCAGGACTTCATCGTTATTGTGGACTATCACTCGAGGTACCCGGAAGTCTTGACGTTAAGCAGCACCTCGAGTGGAGCTACGATCGCGGCAATGAAGTCAGCCTTCGCTCGGCATGGTATCCCGCGATCTGTAAGAACGGATAACGGCCCGCAGTTTGCATCAAGGGATTTTGCGAAGTTTGCAAAACATTACGGCTTCCAGCACCAAACAAGTAGCCCCAGATTCCCGCAATCTAACGGCGAAGCGGAGCGAGCTGTCCGCACCATCAAAGAACTCTTAACCAAAGCTGAGGATCCATACTTGGCACTGTTGAGCTACCGAGACACCCCCGGTGTTTCTGGAGACAGCCCCGCACAACTTCTGTTCGGGCGTCGGTTGAGGACACGGCTTCCTAGGACTCAAGATGAAAGTCTTCCGCGGCCACCATCGCCCGCTCGCGTGGCAAGGAGGAATGAGTTGTATAAACGGAAACAAGCTCAGGCCTTCAACCAGCGGCATGCTGCCCGCGAGCTGCCTCCTCTTCGTCCTGGAGAAAGAGTGTGGGTACAGTCGGAACAGTGTCCGGCCACGGTGCTCAGCCCAGGACAGCGTCCCCGCAGCTATCTGGTGGAAGCTGACCACAGCGGAGCGGTCCTTCAGCGCAACCGCAGGGGACTGGTTCCTTTTGCAACCCCAAGGCCGCCGGTTGAACCACCCGCAGCTGACGGTGTGCCGCCAAGCCCAATAGCGACTCAGCAGAACATTAGTAGTGACCCAAGACGGCCGCCTGTGTCGACAAGTCCCTATCGGACTCGCAGCGGACGAGCCGTGACCCGCCCCAGGCGTTTAGACTTGTAACGGCGGACAGTTTGAAAACGTTGCAGTTGATGGGGTTATTGTGAACAACAAGTGGGTGCGTTTCGCCGCAAGAACTATTTAGCGAAAACGCAGCCTCTAAGAAGGGGAGATGTAGTGGTCGCTATTTGTCCAGCTAGTGGCGCCCTCTTAGTGTAGAGGGGCGTGCGTGTTCTTTAGAAGAAGTAAAGGGGAGTTCTTCACGAGCAGCCGTCGGTGTCGGATGTCTTTTACTGAGCTCCGCCTCACAGGGTTTGAGAGGTAGGCTCTGAATCCTACAGTCGGGAGCTGAAATGTCATTAGAGGGCCATTTTAAAGGGAATCACGAGTGTCGTGGGCTGCCCGAGAGCGTAAAGGCTAGCGCGAAAGCGGCGACAAAGAGGGAGAGCGAATGGGTGCCCCGACCGTAGATGTCGGCGCCGTGGTCCCAGAGGAGGCAGAGGCAGGAGCCGTCGCGTGTGTCCCACAGGCGGATGGTGGCGTCCCAGCTCCCGGACAGGAGCAGGTGGCTCAGCTCAGGGCTCCAGACCACGCTGCGCGTGAAGTCGCCGTGCCCGCGCAGGATCCGCACCGCGGACTCGCACGTGTAGTTCCACACTTGGATGGTACTGCAAGCGTGGGACATATTTTGCCAGTTCCAGGTGACAAAAAAATAAACAACTATGATGAAAATAATCCCTGGAGAAGAGGGACAAAGGACGAATATAAATCTCCAAACACAGCTAGGTAACTGGTGCGCGACCGAAAAAAAATCCGCCTGGTCCGGGTATCGAACACGGGACAGGTGGAGCGCTCTACCAACTGAGCTAACCAGGGGTTAGACGTCAGTATAGAGCAAACCGGTTTTATCAGCTGCCACCTAGCTGTGTAGAGAGATTTGTGTTTGTCCTTTGTCCCTCTTCTCCAGGGATTATTTTCATCATTCTTGTCCAGCTCGCTTGCACCTTTGCATATAATTGCATTATAGTAAAGAACTGTTTACGCTGGCGCGTTTGTCAGGAGGCTATAGTTCCTGCTTTATCTAATCATACTGTTAATAAAAGTTTTAGAGCGAAGCTCCTAGGCGCCTTTTTCCGGGTTTCGCGGCGTCGCCGTCGGCGTCGGCGCCGGCGTAATCACGCTTAATTTAGCGGGAAAATTGACGTCACGCGATCTTACACCAATTTGATTCCCCGCTAAATTTAGCGAGGAAATTCAGTTTCTCCGCTAGATTTAGTGGGAAAATTGACGTCACGTGACCTCAATACAAATTCAATTCCTCGATTCCCCGCTAAATTCAGCGGGAATGCAATTGGTGTTGAGGTCATGTGACGTCAATTTTTCCGCTAAATCTAATGGAGAAAGTGAATTTGTCCATAAGTTACGTGACACCAATTCATGTGACGTCATTTTCCCCGCTAAATTTAGCGTGGAAACTGAATTGGTGTTGATGTCACGTGGCGTCAACCTTTCAGTTAAATCTAGCGGGGAAACTGTGGGAGGAAGAGAGTAGGAGGAGGAGAAGATGAGGAGGAGGGGAGGAGGGGGACGAGAGGAGGATGATGAGGGGATGGACAAGGAGAGGGTACAGAGGAGGAGGGGCATACCCTCGCCTCTGTACCCTCCTCTCATCTTCCTAAAGAGTTGTGCTCTAATTAGGCATTACAGCAATTTGTAAACGTTTCATTTTTTTTTATTTACACATTTTCTAGTATCCACTTGGCAGCGTGCAAAGCTGGGCAGAAAGGCTAGGACCCTTACGCAGGTGCGCACACACACACACACATAGACACACCCAAACACACATACATGCACGCACGTGCTCACACAAGAAACTTACTGCACATTATGCCATCTGGACGGGGACTACTCTAAGAAATAGGGGTACTCCCCTTGTCCCATATGTAATTCCTCAAAACTATACATTTCGTCCTTCTGTCCACTGACGTCGAGCTGGCGATATCAACTTTTACAAGCTGCTTGATAGTTGTTGGATATAAGTTATAACGTTCTAAATAGCTTATGTGCGTATCAAAGACTACACAAATAAATTACTGAGGTTTCGCAGCAGGGCCAAAAAAACCTTGATTGTCTTAATTTAGCCTTTAATGAGCACATTAAATACGTTATATCCAACAGCTATCAAGCCGCTCGTACGAGTTGGTATCGCGCCAGCTCGACGTCAGTTGACAGAACGACGAAATGTAGTTTTGGGGAATTACATATGGGACAAGGGGAGTACCCCTGTACACCCCCTATATCTTAGAGTGTAGAGCGAAGGGGGCTGAAGCATTATGGACCTTCGTTTGCATACAAAAGGTGGCCATACCTCGTACACAATCCTAGACGCCCCTCCCTGTCCCGTAGAAATGGCTGACGCTTAAAAGCTGAGGATTTTAAAAGTGACTATATAATCAAATGAAACCTTGCTTCCACTTGTTTCCTTGTTCTGGGGCCCTTATCTGGACACTTGCCGAAACATTCGGCAATCCGGCGGCCGTGATTGGTCGATGCCGCACTTGACTTTTGCGCCGGCCAATCACAGTCGCCCGATTGCTCGTTGATGTTTTTGCTAAATGTTCAGATTAGGGCCCTCCCTTCCATCATGGCATTCAAATTCGTATGTTGCCTTCTAATGGGATAGATAAAAAATAGAACACCAACAACAAAGAACTTTGTTTGATTTAATTGAATATGGCAGTCAACAAAATACAAATGTAACGCATTTGTAACAGTACGTTCAATTTGTTAAACTGTAACGGGAACGAATTTCTTTTTCACAAATGGAACTTGTAACGGGAAGCCGTTCTAAAGATCAGAAGGAACGAGAAACGAGCTTTCGTTCCTTTTTTGAGGAACGTTTATAAGACTGCTCATGGGTAGTCCCCGTAACACTCGCGCATCGAGTGTGAGTTTCTCTTCTTTGGACATTCTCAATGCAAACGGCATAATAATTCTAAAAAAAAAAAAAAAAAAACCACACCGCACTACGGTATTTGAGTGTGGGCGGCACGATCGCCGTGTACACCACGTGCGGAAAGCCACCGAATGGCTTGGACACAAGGGAGACAAAACCCACAGTGCGATGGGCCTTAGCGACCACATACCAGTGACGCAGACGGACACGTCGAGTGTTCGTGGACAGCGAGCATTTTAGCTCCCATAAGACCAGGAGACTGGTACCCGAATTCTCGATTCTTGTTCCCACTCCGCTGGTCCATCGAGTGCCTCTTTTTGCCACTGAATTGTTCTCAAAGCAGTAAGTAGTATTGAACTTGGTGGCGCTGACCAGCGAACGCGGCAAGCAACGCAAAAGTCTCGCTCGTGTCCGCTGGACCCCAGATCCATGCGTATAGAACTCGAGAAACTCACCCGGATGACTCTATCTACGCACGCCCTGGCAAAGAGGCAGAGCGCAGCGAAGCGGCAGGCCGCAGCGAAGCAACATGTAATCAAGCGGCCGTAAGGAAATCAAATTCCGGAACTATACTGTAAGGCAAACATCAACAGTGACTTCACGTTCCATCGTCGACTCTACAGAAGGGAGCTTGAGTGGTGCCCACCGGTCGTCCGAGGTGCTGCAGAGGACGCCGTCCCTGAGAGGGGACCACTTGACGCGAAACACTTTGGAAGTGTGTCCCGCCAGGGTCTTGAGGGGAACGCCTCCGTTCATGCTCAAGTAGAAGATGCGCACCAGACTGTCTTCGCACGCCGTCGCTACGATGTTTCTGCGCAAGTGGAGGGCAAGTGGAGGGCGTTGGTCCTCGCCAAGTCACCTCATCTGCTTTGCCTTAAAGCCGCTGTCATACTGCACTCATAATCTTACAAGAGACACGGTGGTAGCTGCAGACTAGACGAAAAAAATATCTGCGGACAATCTTGTTCTCACCATGTTTGCATCGTACGTATTGTGTATGATTCGAAGATGTCCGCAGACGGTTTTTGTATCACCGGTGTGATTGTCATACGAACACGCCTCAGACAATGTTTTCAGACTGTCCTTTGCGTGACGTATTAGCGGTATTACCGCGGCTTCAAAGCTCCGGTGTGTGCTTTACGAACGAATTTAAAATGCCGCTCGTCGAAGATTGAAATGCCGCCCTCACACTCACGAAAATAAATTCCCCGATAAGTTCGTCGCTTTTACGCATTCGCGGATCGAGCAAGGTTTTAGAGCATTTTAATTGACTTTAAGCTTTATTCGAGCTTACGGTCGGGAACCCTGCGACAGAAACGTTGGAAGCCCGGGGCTCATTTTTTTGTACTTTCTGCTATGCTGAACCAAACATTTCAGAGTCTATAATAAGTGGCGCACGATATTTCCACGAGCCAGCAGCCGCCGGTGTGCGCGAGCACACGCAACGAAATTGACGTCATCATATCCCCCATTGATTCAGCATCCCTTTAAAGGAATGTTGGACTGCAATTTTGATTTCGCAAAATAAGGCCGCGGTGTTTGAAGTGTTTGAACGGGACTCTACAAAACTCCAAAACATCACTCATACATCGATTTCTCGTACGGATGGCCGTATTTTATCGGAAAAAAAGGGGCGCGATCAAGCGAGGAATGCGACGTCACGATTCTCTTCAAACAGTTGAGAATGAGGGGAAGCGGCCTCGCTTCTCTCCTCCTCGCTTCGGTTCACCTGTTCGAGGCAGGGTGGGCAGGGGCAAAGCGAAGAGGAGAGGGAATGAGAATCGCGAAGTCTCAGGTCTTGTCTGCCTCGTCGGCCGTGTTCAACCTCGCACTTCTTTTCCAAAAATACGGCCATCCGTTAAAGATATCGCTGTATGGGTCATGTTTTTGGGTTTTGAAGCGTCCCGCGTATTGCTTCGGCCTTGTTTTATGAGCTAAAAATTTTGGTTCAGCATCCCTTTCAAGTGAAGCAGAGCATAGCAAGGCGTATCGGCATGTTGTTGGTAATAATTTCAGAGAAAACTTACTCGTTGCTTGGGTTCCAGTCGCATCCGAAGACAATGCCCGGATGATGGAACGTCTGCACAAGTGTTCCGTCCACCTGGTGGATCATGCTGAAGCAAGGAACATAAGAGGGTAAGTGTACAGTGGCGGACAACGGTTGGACGGTCTTTGCTGGTACTTGGTTGCAGCTCACCAAGTTCCGTCGGCTCCAGCCGAAGCAACTTTCTTCGAGTCTGTCTGGTTCCAGGCGACGCAGTAGATTGCAGTGTGCTTTCCATGCTACGAATAAAAAGCAGCGTCACGTTTACACCTGAAGCATTGGACACTGACCGCATTTGGTGATTACGACAGCTATATAACAAGCCTGGATATTTGTTTTAGTTGTATACGCTCCTTGGCTACTTCATGTTCAGATCAGTTTGTATAAAAACTGGCGTTCCGCGCGACACTTGTTTTGCGGCTGGTCTACCATATTTCTGCTAATTTTCAGCGCGTCCTGGTGCAGCTTTCACCCCAAACCACAACGGCGTCCTAGAATTACCACAGCACCGAAATGCTGAGGCCATTCCGATCCAGTGGCCGCAGATGCCCCTGCGTTCGTCTTACACAGACAATACGCGGGGTCGTACGTCGAGAAATGTTGCCCTGGCCACGTTCTTGGCGGAATCCCAGATGAGCACGCCGTCCCTCGACGTTCCCAGGGCCAAGCAGTCCTGTCCCGCCGGAGCCCACGACACGCAGTAGATGGTGCTCCGACAAGGAGGCGAAGACAGCACCTGACAGGCAAAGCAGGCCGCGAAATCATTCGCACATTACTAATAAGGCGCCCGATAAAAGGCCGATTTATAACCACAGTAACTTGAGCAGCCCACTTTTATAGTCACCTCGCAGCTCAGATAAAACGCAGGTCATTACGGCCGACCATATTGAGGCTTTCTGCTTCGCGGCTCATCTACACTCTTAGAAAAAAGGGTCAGTATAGTCCTCCCTAAAGGGAGGAACGCTCTTGACACATATGTTCCTTCAGAAAGGGAGAAACTTTCGTCCCTTAAGCAGGGGAGGAAACGTTCCTCCGTCGACTGCATCTCATTATGGCGGCCACGAATCGAGCAAATCGAGCTCGGTAAGGCTTAACGAGAACACTAAGTCTATTGCACGAAGCGAGAGGAGCAGGAAATAAAAACGTAACACGAGCTTTCCGCGAACTGTATTTATTTCCGAAGTTTCTTCACCCCTGCAGGTAAAGAAACTTACGTTTCGGAAGCATGCAGTTACTCAGTCTTCTCGTCGTCAGCACTGCGATGTTCAACGGAGACAACCGGCACTCAGTTCGCGCACTTTATGTCCTACCTTTGCTATTCCTCGAGCCACAATTCCTTCGTCAACCGTTGCGTCAACCGCACATCACGGAGGAGTGAAAATCATTCGCCCACAAAACCAAAAGCCGCTCTCAAAAAAAAAGCAAATCCGAAGCAACCTCTTGGCTTATCTCAGCACGGTAACACGAAATTATGGCGTAGCCGCGTAGCGTAAAAGTATGTTAAATCGCTTGCCACCAGATGGCAGGGTCAAGCAGAGTATTCGCACGCAGCTAGGCTAGGTGGCGCTAGGTACCGCCCAATTCATGTTTTACAAAAAAATATTTTTATTTCCTTACGCCACAATTGCGTTTCCTTTTCTACGGAATCTCTAACACGTTGCGCACACTACAAACATCAGGTCAACATATATTGAACGCATACACAGGCATCGCACATACAATCATCAATACAACAGCACACTACCCCGATCACTACTACCGAGCCATGCGTTTCCGTCTTTTATAGTGGTCGTTTTGAACGTACGGAATTGTTCGGTGACTCCCTGAGCAAAAAAAAATATTCCGAACATGTTCATTTTTTTTCAGCAATGTCATCCATCTGAGGCTATTTTTAATGGCTCAGGGGATGAATCTCTTATTAAAAAGAAGACGCTCGATCATGCCATAATTATTTGAAAGCCAATAAATCAAGCCGCTCCAATGTGGTTCCAAGCCATGAGTTTGTTTTCCCGCACGGCCCTTCGTAGCCAGTATTTATATTGTAGTGTTCGTTTTTCTATTTGTGCTGTTCGCGCAAAGCTGCAATTGCCGTCTTGAATTAATCTCTGTAGAGCGGATATCCACTCAGCTGGAAGTGATGCTTCACGGGCACAGAAATCGCTTTTCGATCAACTTGAATGCAGTCAAAGCCGCGACTTGCGACAACTGTGTACGGAGCTGCGCCGTTGCGAGCTCGAAAACTTCTAGCGCTCATCCCAGCGCGCCACTTAAAGGGCAGTTTCTACAGGAACCGTAATATATTTAAACAGTAAATTAAAGGATAGCGTTTTTTGTTTTTTTTTCGATTTTGCCTGTCTTTTTTTTTTATGCTAAACTTCCATTATAAATATACGTACTTTCCCTCATACTTTCGTAGTGTTGTCTTTTCCCCAGAGCGCAATCGCTCCCGGGGACCGACAGTCACATTGGCCACTGTACGATAGGAGCTTACCGTTCAGACCAGCGTTCCAACATGACTATCCACACGTCGATCGACTGCACCTAATCCCTCAAGTGGTTTTAAACTCTTTAATGTAAAGCGGAATGTCATCCTGCGACACCCCGGCCCCTCCGATAACGGCCCGACCAGCGGCATCAATGCCCGACAGTTTACGTCATCTCATCTTGTTGTTACACCACTGATACGCGAACACACGGTCACATCGGCGATAATTCCAGTCTTCTGTTCACAACCCACAACACTGTCATCACAATGTCGCTGACACGAAGAAATACAGAACCACGTTGACGATGTTGCTGACACGCAGAAGAATCACGTTGAACGCCGGTTGGCACTCGGCACGGGACAACGGAACCGAACTCAGCGCGGAAGGCACCCAGGCAGCCGGCAGGAAAACCTGCCTTCCTTGGACGCAGTTCCCGCGATTTCCATAACGTCGAAACGTCGACACAGTTCCTCGTGGTTTCGCTGCTGTAGTTCCGCGTGTGTCCCGCAAATTGGAGACGGCCGTCTTACCCAGTGTATGTAGCGCTGCTGGCACTGCTCCGGAACTTCGCTGTTTCTAGCGGCTTCGTTAGCTCGTTTGATAAAATTAGTGGTAAAAACGTCAATGCAACCGAAATGTTCTGCACATTTGGACTAGAAGACGGAATTACAGGCGGCCTTCGCTGCCGCTGAAGCTCAATCAACTTAACATTAATTTATTAAACAACGTGCGCGATGTGCTCGAAAAACGAAACCGAAAGAAGATGGGTCGGGAGGGCGAAAGCTTTCTCCGGTCTGCCTGGAGAAGGAAAACGTCTCGGAGAATAATGACTTTAATTTTCCTTTCATCGGTCTGGGTTTGTTTATATGTGTTTTGGTAAACAAAAATAAACAAAAAACTTTACAAAAAAACAAACAAAAAAAAACAAAAAAAACCCACTTTTCTGGGGATCGAACCGTTGACCACTTGGTCAGTAGCGCGATGTTCTACCCCTGCGCCAACTGAACAAGGAGGAACTTGCCCTCTTCCTTTCATCTGAACTGCCGTTCCTCCCTTCTCTGGGCAACTTGTCCGCAACAAGGAGGAACAGTCGCTTTTGCTACCTTTCTCCTCCCTTTTTTCTTAGAGTGTACGCACATGAAACGCCACGCTCAGCTGTCACAGTGCAGGATCTAAACCTATTTTTAGGTTTATAATTCGCCGAGATCTCTCTCTGTAGATTTCAGCGATTTGTTCATCCAGGTGCTTTGGGGAAAAGTAGCGGGCAACTTATCGAAGGAGGGTTTAATTCAGATTAATTCCTCTGTCCGGACTATAAGGGTGAACAAACTTGTCCAAGCTCTAGCATAAAAAAAAAAAAATTGAAATCAACTCGTTCTGCCTAAATTGCTCAGTATTGGCCAGTTCTGGCTAGATAGGAGGTGTAACTTCATCGCACTTAGGTTGAAGGTGTAGACGGATGAATCGATCGGTAACCAAGAAACTGGAGTTTTACCGGGGTCATAGTCTCGATGTTCCATATCTTGAGAGTCCCATCGTAGCTGCCTGTGGCCAGAAGGTTACAGTCGTCGGGCTTAAACTGGCAGTCGAAGATTGTCTCCGTGTGAGCCTAGACCAGTGAACCAGAGCAGCAAGATAACTGAGATATTCGCCCCTCGTGACAGCACTAAAATACATGGCACGCAAGTCCAGGACACAAATCAAAACGGTCGAGCGCAAGCCACGCAGTGAATGCTAATGATAGGTGTTAAACGTAACGGATTGCTTAATACCCGTGCCACATGGGCAACTCGAATGCCATTTACGACGGATGACATTTGAACGATCGGCCAATCAGCGCGCGACACTCCGAACGTGGGGCGTTCCACGCCCGACAGATCGCGAGCCGATTCGTCGATCACACGAATGTCATTCGTTGTAAATGACATTCAAGTTGCCCGTGTGGCACGGGCATAAGCCAGCATAATAAAATGCTACCTTTTAACGCGAAACGTTCTTTGTCTTTTTGCTCCGGATTTCGTAAAGCCGTGGCCTGTGACGTCCCAAAATTCAACGCGCGCAGTGTTGCATTATGGGACGTCACAGACCTAAACGCTAATTTAGTGTCTCCGCTAAAATTAGCGGGAAAGTTGAATTGGTGAATTGAGGTCACGTGACCTCAATTTTCCCGCTAAATTTAGCGAAAAGATTAACCCCCCGTGACCTTCACACCAATTCGATTTCCCCGCTAAATTTAGCGGGAAAATTGACGTCACGTGACGTGATGTCACGTGCAACTAGAACGTTTCAGGTAGGCTACACAATTGCTTGGCAATTCGCCATACAATTTTTTTCTATATTGTCATAGCCCTCGTGCAGATAAGAAATACAACGTGTTGCTAGGGGCTGTTCTAATCTGCCCGCGGCTTTGATACGTAAGGAACGTGTTCCACTCATGCTCCTTTAGAGCAGTAGATGCTGACTTCCTCTTTGTTGCAACCCAACTGTCGAACTACGAAGTCTATGAAGAGTTTTAAGTAGAAAAACTCGCAGACGTTAATAACTACAAAGAGACGGACATGGCAGACTTGATCGCGTGCAAGAAAAGGATTCGTCTTTATCATTGTTAGAGGTCCCATTCCCTCGGCTGTGTTTGGTCTTTTATAATAAGCCTTAAATATTCTACTAATCTTCTGCCGGATATTCCCTTCACAACAAAGTAACAAATTAGAAAGTATTCCGAAACTACTTTGGTCAAAATTACGTTTGTCCCCGCCAGTTCGCTTCTCGGTACGGAACGCAAGTAAGAGTGAGAAGCTATTTTATACTCGACATATATGCGCTTTGTCAAATGTTCATCGACCGTAGCCGATTTGAATAAACACGAGTAACGCATAAATTTAAGGTTGTTGAAAATCACTTAAAATTAAAGAAACAGTAAAGACCTTCAGGTGTTCTTCCTAGGGACATGCCCTCGCTGTTGAATATAGAAGTCTAGAGAATTTCCAACAACAACAGACAGAATCATCATGCTTCTTGCTTGCGGTCAACCTTACTAGTTTTGAGTTTTAAGTATATTGCGTCCAATAAAAGAGTCTCGTCGTTTACCGACCAGGGAGGTCTTGCCAACGTCTAACTCTTCGTGGAAGATAAGCATCAAAGAAACATTCAGAAGTGTAGGTTTCTAGAAATTCACGATGGACAAGCGTAACAGACCGTGTCCCGAAGGAAATCCCAAGACCTCTTGCGGACGTTGTACAGCCCAATGCCTCCGTCCCGGAACAGACAGATGACTCGCACATGGTGTGGCAGCCGCGTTGTCGTGTCGCCCTGTGCCCCGGAGCCGTCATCTCGGCCGTGCACAGCGAAGCCGGGGCACGCGCAGAGCGTGTGGAAGCCGCTGCCGTGCACCTGGATGTTCTCCAGAGGTGCGTCCCGAGACACGTTCCACACTCGTAAGGTTCCCGATCCGGCGTCTGCGGCGGCAACAAAAAGTAAACTAAAAGTCAAAACCAAATGTTCTACACGAGTCGTTATGCGTCGGCAAGCTAGGTTCCTTTTGTTGGTGCCTAACGCTCTGGCGTAAAGATGGTCCAAAAGCCGGGATTCATAACGGTAAAGGAAACTACACCGTCTTCACTTAACAATATTAACAATTTAATTAGACGTTCCGTCTCCCCTGCGGGAGACATCATGTTCGGGGACACGAATAAGAGGAGTACAGAAATCAGTAGGTTAAAAACTGAACTAGTAGATCACTGCTGGAAAAAGGCGTCACAGCTTTCATCTTCAGAGCGCAGGGACCTAGGCGCGAGAACAAAGGTGGGGCCCATGAAAGTTTCTGGAGTCGCGGTGAATTCGTAGGGATGCATGTGCCTGCAATGCAAACCGAGGTCCCCTTCCCGAAGTGTACGCGAATGTCCTAAAATAGCCTTCTGGTTTCTGCACTCCTCTCACTGGTGTTCCTAAATACGCACGGATGATGTCTCCCGCATGGGAGACGAAACTTCTGATTACATGTTTAATAGCATTAAGTCAAATCGGTGTAGTTTTTCTTTATAGCTCTGGGCTAGCCGGTGATGAAAACGCACAAAGACGACAAGCACTGTGACGATGCACGTTTGACGCTACCTGATTGGCTCACAATGGTCCTGCGGCACACAGTGGTCCTACGACAGAATGCGGTCCTACGGCACTCAGTGGTCTTACGACACAGGGTGGTCCCACGACACACAATGATCCTACAAGACCTCAATGGTCCTACGAGACACAATGATCCTGCGACACACAGTTTTCCAACGTCGATCATTGGTCCTACGAGACACAGCGGTCCTACGACACAAAAGGATATGTAAACTTGCCTCCCGTGACGAACATGCCAGCAGCTCCAGGCACCCAAGACACCATCCTGATGGTTGTGGCACGGCTGGGGCAGGAGTAGGACGTGACCACCTGGACTGCGTCCGCCGAGGTGTCCAGGAGGAATAGATGTCCGCTGGGGAGGGCCGCCAGGAGGTAGCTGGTGGACAGGGTGTCCCAACGCAGAGCCACGACAATCCGGGGATCTGCTTCGTCATCGTCCGGTGGATTGTCGTTCAGCAGGCGGATGTGCTTCTGCTGTGAACCGCCTGCAAAGAAGATTGGCTCTCTTCCCTCCAAATAATAACCTCGGTCAAATACTGAACTGAACGCTCTTGCAGATCATCAGCGTGACATCCCACGATACGCAATTTTCAGTTTCTACGTCTTCTATCACCAAAACTACAGGTGTGGTGGGGTATGTTCCGCTGTGAGACGTAAATTTAAAGATTTTTTTTTTTAAAGAGTGTGATAAAAATTATGTGCTTAGCTTCACTGTCCTGTGCATATTATACGTAGACGTAAAGAACACTCTGCCATGCGTGAATAAAAGCGGTGAAACTTTTTTCTGACAAAAGTATTGTTTATTGCTCTACACTCGTTAAATCAATATTTATTGCCCAGCATTTAATTGGTATTTAAAAAATAAGAAAACAAAAACGTTGACATCTTTAAAAAGACAACTAATTGACTCTTTATTTTCAACACTTAATCTACACATTGCCAAACTTTCTTAGAAAAAAAAAACGTTATTTGGGTGGGTGTGTTTTAAAGACATTTTCCAGCCTTTCCTTTTTACCAGAAAACCGCATAACGAAGAAAAACAAAATTAAATTATAATCCACGATCCTTCTATACTAAACTAATAAATCAGAATTCTAAAAGACTTTTTTATATTGATTCTTTCCCAGATGTTACACTATCTTAGGGTGAATGTCGTGACACGACGTCTAAAAGCAATCTTCGTGTGGCTACCTTCCTGCGGTTTGACCACGAAGCCCGGAAGCAAACACGAAAGAGGGCTTTGTCTTTCTTTTGTTTCTCAATTCGAAGTTACTGGAAGCCAGCGAATCGAACCGAGGCACTCGGCCGTTCCGATATCGACTTCAGCTCAAGAGAGAGCGAGAGAGAGAGAGAGAGAGAGAGAGAAAAAGAGAGAGAGGGCGAGCGAAAAAGTCCATACCCGATGTCCGCCAGATTAGCCGTACGCAATGTGGAGAGCGCCCGAGCGTATACGCGAAGATGGCTTCGCTTTCAACGAGATTAACGATGTTTACACACCGTATGTCGGGTTCTCGCAAAGAACTGATACACACTGTCCCATTTTCGAACGGAAGGAAATATCCATAAATTCAGATAACATTTGCAGGCTGCAATAACGGCTTTTCCAAAACAAAGACCGGAAGCTTTAGCTTTCATTCGGTATAAAGACGTTTTCTGTTTCCTGTCGTTCTCAGTCATGTGGGTTCCGTATCTGGTATGCGGGACGAAAAAGAACAAAACATTTCAAGCTGCAGTATGCGAGAACGTGTAGGTGAGGCAAAACAAGAATGCGTGACAATCACGGATTTTTCGTAAACACCTTCCAGCGGCGTGGAGAGATTAAAACGATGTTTCACCGCATACCAGAAGTGACGAGATTAAAGATGGCTGCCCCCTTGTGGAAAACGTTTATATCATAAAGGAAAGAGTCTGCATACAGATTCGAAAGCGAGTCACCGCGAGATCCGTGCTTCGAATGCCGTATGACAATGAGTTGAAAGGAGGAAACGTGGCACGAGGTATTTGAACCACGGATATTGCGGTGAGTCGTTTTAGCAGACTGTCTTTTGTATGATGTATGACCGCTGTGATGACTGACGCTTAAAGGGACCATGAAGGCAGTTTCGAAGTTTTATTCGACGATTGAAATGGATGGCAGGCACGTCTCAGATACTGTTGACCAAGTTCTAGCCCGAACAGAAGTTTGGGTGCCGCACCAAACGAGCAAACAGGCGCGGTAATAATAGCGCCGGGAACGATGCCTGAGACCCCACCGAGGCGGCGGCAGAAAGGTGAACTAAAGTGCGCCGAAGCGTGACGACAACGGGCACCTCGTCTGGCGATTGGTTCAAACGATAAACGCGCTCTTGGTTTCAATTTCGGTGGTGAGATGTGATGAAAAATTTTTATTTGAACGTTGGATAATCTTTTGAAGTTGTAGTTGGTAATTAATAGGTTTCATACCGTGTATAAAAGCATAATCTGAAGCGATCCCTCCGTTTGCCACTGGTTGAACGCATCCCGCACTGCTACCTCGGGCGCGTAAAAAGCATCGAGCAACCATGGACAAACAAAAAGAAAAAGAGGTACGAGCACCGGGGGCAGCGGACTTTTGGCTTTGGTTTCGTGCGTCGTGTCGTGTTCGCTTTGCGAACTGGTGTCTCACCAATCATGCCGCGTTTATGTGCAGTAGTAGGTTGCGCGAAAGGTCGGCTAAAGACGTGCGGTCGATCGGGCGACGTTAGTTTGCATAACCTGCCGACCAATGCAGCAATGCGCAGCATTTGGTTGCGCGCCGTCGTCTGTGGACAGAAGACTTTGAGCAGCACCTTCACGTCAGCCGGAGCCTGGGTAAAAGTGGGGCGGGGAGTCGCTCTGGAGGCGGCGACTGAAGAGTTGGTGGTAGATCTAGGGCGCCCTCGTAAAGCGTCAATCCAGAGTTCTGCGTCCTCAGCAGCATCTCCCGTTCAGTCGGCGTTAGGTCGCTGAACGGGAGCTCAAACTCGTTTGCGAGCGCGGCGTTGTCGTCCATTTCTTCCAGGTTTTCTTCACAGACCGCCGTGCACTAGAGCGAACCACGGGAACCACACTGAGTGTGCACTAAATCCTACCGATGCCGACAGTGCTCCCTGACGTCACTTCTCTTTCCAGAGGCGAAAAAGGGAAGAAATCTGAATGTTTGTTTCGGTTTCGCAAATTTATTTGCAGGTACAGAAATAAGAGTCAGAACGTTCTAGAAAAAATTTAAAAAAAAATTAAATTGCCTTCATGGTCCCTTTAAGTGGAGACGGGGAGTCGAAAGCTTAAACATGCGATGCGGGCTATGTCTTACCGGAATATGTGAAGTCGGGATCTATTAATATAACTTACAAGGCGAGGCCTGCAATGACGTCATCACTAGTGGCTCAATGCAGTGCCGCATACCTCACGTCAGCGTCGCAGCCAGAGCGTCTTGCAGCGTCTCACAACGAGTGCGACGCTATATATAGCACGCGTCGTCGAGCTAATTGGCGTGTTTGCCGCTTGGGGCGGGTCAGAGGTCCACTAACGATGACGTCATGGGCAGGCCTTGCCTTCTAGGTGGTGTCGCACCACCGCCACCTCATTTGCAAAAAGAGAGAAAAAAAAAAAACAATTAGCCTTTTTTGTGTGAGAGGAAAATGGTCTTACCGTATTGAAGAACCGAGATGGAGCCATCCTGATGCCCATAGGCCACCTTGCCCGCCACGTGCGGGTGCCACGTCATCTGGGTGACTGCGCTGGCGAACTGTGGCACGGCGTCCCTTCCGATCTCTTTACGGCTCTCGCCTCCAGGCACGGTCCAGGCGTGCAGGGGACCGCGTCCGGCGAGGTACACCAGCACGTCCGGCACGTCCGGCTTCCAGGACAGCAAAGACGGCGGACAGGCCGGTTCGCTCAGGACGGCCACCAGGAGGTGTTTGGACACGTCCCAGACGCAGAGCTTGGGGTCCAGGCTCCCGCTGGCCAGCCAGTCCTCGCGCGTCGGGTGCCAGTCCAGACCCGTGATGGTGCGCTTGTGCTCGGCCATGATGGAGTGGAGGCGGAACTCGCCGCTAAAGCTGTCCATCTGGGAAAAGTCAGCAAATAAGAGCGAGCAAACAAAGCCGCCATCACATTGCTCATACATTGTACAAAATGCAGTCTGTAGGCACTGACTGACGTGTGCTTCTTCCATGTATGTTATACTGGTCATTCAAAAACTGTCTGCTGTCATCTTAAAAGGACACAAATGCTGGAACTAAACGTGCTTGAAGCTTGCCCGCAGGCAGTTCTGTTAGGTCTGCAGCCAACACAGTGTCTTTTGTTTAATGTATGAGAGTACGAGCAGCGTGGCAGTGGTACAACCCGATGAGGCCGCAGACATTTCCTTCTCTCGCATACAACCGGCCTTCGGCTGACTGGAAGTTTTTTCATTCGGTCGATTTGGTGCGAAGGCGATCAAAGTTAACCAAACCTGTACAGCTTATATGCGTTCGATGCTTTTAACATTGCACACGAGATAGGCAGACCAAGGACTACTAAAAAAAACAAAAAAAAACATTTTCTTCGTTTTATGTAGATTTATATTTGATATATGAACAACGCTATTCTGGACCATAAAAACAAAAAAGGGTAAAACAATTCAAAGAACTAAGTCCTTTTTAGAATTATTATGGGATTTGATTGCATTTTCACCGATTTTTAACGATTTAACTTGTAGATGCCTTAGCTGCTTTTCGTACTTCAACTTATGTGTAAGCTCAAAAACGCTTACTTACATTCTCAAGACGTCTTGCGATAAAGAGTCACTGACATACAATCTCTTGTGTGTTTTTGTTTACCTCTTATTTGCTGGACGCGTTCTGCAGATGACAGTGATTGGTCCACCCCGTGCTCGGGGGCAAAGCAGACACAAAGAGATTTATACGTAATCAAGAGAACTTAGCATTAGAGAGTTTTCGTATGTCTTTCCTGCACTACGATAAGGACACCAACTAACGAAAATAATCCCCGGAGAAGGGGATCAAGGGGGCAACAAACACAAATCTCCAAACACAGTTAGGTGACTGGTGCGCGACCAGTCACCTAGCTGTGTTTGGACATTCCTGTTTGTCCTGCGTCCCCCTTGTTCCCCTTCTCCAGGGAACATTTTCCTTATTCTCGTCCAGCTCGCTTGCACCTTGGAATTTAATTGCATCATCATTATAACCAAATAACGATGTGCTAGCCTTGCTTTGTGCACATTTGTTTATCGGGCGTTGCTATCGGAGTGGCAGGAAGAGATATACATAATTAGCTTTGTTAACGCGACGCCTACGTATTGTCAAGTTAAGCAAGAATAATGAGATAAAGTAATCACCTCGTAGATGTAAACAGCCAGGGTGGCGGCATAGGCGAAGCGCTGTCCGCTGAACGCCACCACGTTGATGTGCCACGGCTGACACCCGGCAGCCAACAGAGCCGTCTGTCGCATCATGGTGACGTAAATTCACGCCTCCTCACCGGCCTTTTTCCAACACACCCTCTCTTCTGCAGGTAACACAGTAGAAGGACGGCGAAAAGAATATGTCTCTACAGGAAGGACATGAGGTGGTTGTACAACCGGTTAAGGCATTGTAAGTGACGATGTGTTTCTTGTGGTCATGCGGAAGGACGTTGAGATTCTGGAGTCTGCTGATAACTATATCTTCGCTGATATCCCGGTGAAACAAATCCTTTAAAAGAGATGTAAATAGGAAGGTCTAGTAACAGCTGGAGCTTGTTCCGTGAAGCCAGAGCACACGGGCTTTATAGCGAATCTACAGCAGAGTAAATTTTCGTCTTACCGGTTCAGGAACTAATGTGACGAAGCATGCCACAACATCGCAATTCACGTTGGGTTTGTAAAAGATAGAGAGGAGCAGTAGCAGGTCGGTGACTTTCGTATGCTGGTGGCACTGTCCTACCCAAGCCGATGCAGTTCTAATCCTGCACGAGGGAGATGATGAAGGCAATCAGAAACGTTGTGTAGCTCTCTCAATGTTGTAGGGTCCCGATGATGAGAACGTCGTCCAGTGAGCAAAACACAGGGGCGGTTCATCGGTTGAAGCAGTCAACAAGACACGTGGACGTTTACTGACCAGGCTAAATTCGGAAATGCAGCACACTCAACAAAAAGAAAGTGAGGAAAAAAAAAAAAAGCTCTAAATGCGCATATACCTAGATGCTAGAAACTGCTCAGCCCGCCTGCCCCCTTGATCCGTCAGCGATGGCGAAACATATTTGGAAGCCACCGCTGTCCCAGTAGCACAGTGAGAGGGGTCTCTCTACGGGGAACCGACCAGCCGGCGTTTGTAGTGAGTCTCCGTTGCCGCGGGCAACGACGGAAACTGCCATTGATTGGCGCTGTTTCAACGGCAGGCGAGAAAGGGCACAGAAAGGAAGTTGTCTCATTTAGAAGTCCGTTCGCGCGCAAGGATCGCCGCGGTGCCGGGGCCACTGCCCAATTGGCTGATTTCCGATGGTTTCGTGGAGAGAATCGCTGGTAGTGGCCGGCGATGAAGGACCGACAAGAGCGTTTTTTTTGGGGGGGGGGGGGCAATAGCGGCGTGACCGAGATGGGTCATCTCGGCCAGGGGAGTGGATAACTAAAGAGGACCAAAAAACCAGGAGTGGAGGATCATGTTGGTTGTTTTGTTTTGTCACCGACGGCCTAGACATGTGGCTCGAAGACTGAACTATGGTCTATGAGGCAGACGAGAGGGCATCAAGTAACCGTGGGGCGAGCAACTTGGAAGTTGGTCGTGAGGACTTTGCTCCCTGTGGTGCTTTAACTAAAACGTAAACTTCAGCCGGGAGCTACCACCGCATGAGAATCAGCGGTAAAGTCAGTGTCACGGCCTTTACTCACAAGCCCAAACACCGGGCAAAGTAGAAAATCTTGTTTTCCGGAAATACGGCAGCTTACATAAAGGTACATGTGTGATTAAATTGCCAAGATTTGGGGAAATGGGCAGTGTATTGCGCGACAAACTTTTCTTGTGTAACAGTGAGTATCAAAATTTTTTTTAAAATTAATTTTAGTGCAAAACACGGGGTTCTGCAAAATAGTTTATGCTACGTTATGAAAAAAAATATTTTTGAAAATTGTTTGCGTACAATTAACGTACCAGTGATAATAAAAAAAAATGATTGCATATATTTTAAATTAATTTGAGCAGTGTCACGAGCAGAATTGCATTCCATCTTTATTAATAATGAGCTTAATATAAAAATCGCTTTTTTTTCTTCAAAGCGCCGAATTAGACCTTCTTCTAACGTAACTAGACTTAGACCAGTCTAGCTACGCATCTAAATACAGCATAAAATAATTTCAATATAGAAGACGCATGAAAAACATTTCATCATACTTGACGTATGATGAGGCTTGAGGCATCGAAGAGCGCTGGAATTTTTTGAGTTCTGTGTGTGTTATATAATTTATTTTATATATACATATATACCGGTTGTTCCATTTTAATTCGAACTGACTTATTACAAAAAATTACGTAAAAGATGCACTAATTCTGTTTGGGTAGGTGAGTTACACGGCTAAGAGGACATTATGTGGGTGGCTAATCTTTGCGATATGTCGGATAATTAACTAAACTTCCTTAACTTTTTAATTAGTAAAAAGTAATCATATGGTTTCTTTTAGGAACATGCTGAGCATAATCGAAAATCACTCTATCAGTCAATATTAGAACGACTTGAAGCTCGTGGGAAACTTGGGGGCGCACCGAATTTACCACTCGTGAAGCAGGCGGAAAGGTAGCAGTGGCGGAACGCGATGATAAGATTGTCATCGCGTTTTGCCACTGCTAGCTTTGTGCCTGCTTCACGAGTGGGAATTTCGGTGCGCCCCCGAGTTTCCCACGAGCTTCAAGTCGTTCTAATATTGACTGATAGAGTGGTTTTCGATTATGCTCAGCATGTTTCTAATTGAAGCCATATGATTACTTTTACTAATTAAAAACTTAATCAAGAAGTTTAGTTAATTATCCGACATATCGCAAAGATTAGCCACCCACATAATGTCCCCCTGGCCGTATAACTCACCTGCCCAAATTGTATTAGTGCATCCTTTACGGATTTTCTTAAATAAATCTGTTCGTATTAAAATGGAACACCCGATATATATATATATATATATATATATATATATATATATATATATGTCGTACCACCGTATGCTTGCTTAGAACCATATTTATATTTTGTTTTCCTTAAAAAAAATTATATATGTATATGTATATTCTGACATGGTAACTCAGGAACAGGGAAAGAAACTGGACGGACAACACAGCTGTGTTTTGATTAATAATGCAATTAAATGCAAAGCTGCAAGCGAGCTGGACAAGAGTGACGAAAATAATCCCTGGAGAAGGGAAACAAGGGGGCCAAAGGACAAACAGGAATCTCCAAACACAACTAGGTTCCTGGTGCGCGACCGAAAAAATCCGCCTGGTCCTGGTATCGAACCAGGGACCTAGCTGTGTTTGGAGATTTGTGTTTGTACTTTGTCCCGCTAGTTCCCCTTCTCCAGGGAATATTTTCGTTACAGCTGTTGTTTGAAGCTTTGTGTTGCTCGCCCCATTTTTCCGTTCTTCCCGAGTTATCATGACAACATTGAACCAGTTCGCCAGCACACTTGCTTTAGTTTAAAAATATATTCGTTTGTTTCAAGATTTGTTCCCCGCATAGCAAGTGCCTTCCACAAGGCGCAGCAAGAAAACATATTTATTTCGTTTTAATTAAAGCATTAATAAAGATTACAAGTAGAGACTGCATAAAAATCAATTAAAATTGTGTCGGTCCACAAATATCAAAAGTTTCAATTAGCGGTGGACGATACACGTAGAGATTAAATAATAAAGAATTAATAGTAATTGGGGTTGTGCGGATATTTAGACAGCGTGTATTTGGTCAGCCGTTTCAAAGTTGCGGCGAGTCACTCGCTGTAGATGAGAAATTTATCTAATGCAGTACAACCGCTAACCTGGGGTCTTTAACGTGCATCACGCAGTAGTGATACACGACCGCACGCCGGTACGGTGCTCATCCAGATCGAAACGTGCAGGAATGGGGTTGAATCCGGGGATTAAAGCAATTATTTAAAAAAACACACAAACAAAGCGGGTTTCAAACTCTTGTCGTTAAGTGTATCGAAAAAGCAAGAGTGAAAAAAAAGACACAAATAATTTGCTCGTTTATAACGATGGAGTGGAGTAGCATTGTTGATGTCAACATAAAATGCGATGGAAAGAAGTGCAGTCATGTATCGTTAATATGAGCCCCGTTAATTTGGACCCCGTTAGTTTGTACACCCCGCCATGTAGACGACATTTTTGTAGAAGAACATGCGTCTTGTTATTATGGACAACTCACATTATAGACGATTTTTCTTGGGAAAACCAAGCTGTCAATATTAACGAGACATGACTACACATGCACCGTAAATCTAGACAACAAAAATACGGCAAAAAAAAAGTTAAATTACAAATGTGTCCAAACATTTTACTTATTTTCGCCCCCTTCTTCAGCAGACAGATTATACATTTCGACACATGCGCAGAGGACGCTTTGCTGTACGGGACCACCTTTTTTGGTGCGCGAGTCTAAAGCACAATGCGCCGCTGTAACCTTAATCCTTTTAAAAAAAGATAGGTAAGCACGAGAAGTCACTTACCCGAATCTGATAATCCTCCCTTTTCTCGTTGTCCCGCGTGGCTCTCTCCTTCGTTGCCATAAGCCAAAGCGTAGCTGCTACCAAGCACAAAGGCAAACAAAACCATATCCTTCATAATATGGTCGTAATCATTCATTCCTGGCCATTTTCGCCGACCGATTTTAGCTAATGCTCCGAGACCGCAACTTGGGAATGCGAGACTTCCCCGCGATAGAGACCGAGGCAATCGACAGAAAATGGACCTTTTTCGTAGCTTGGCCACGATCGTGGCGCGCCCTCGCGGGAATCGTCCTAAACACTTTTGGTGGCTCCGGGACCATCTCTCCGTCGTCCGCACCAGGCCTGGCTTGTCTCCCGGTCCATGTGTTTACGTGTGTTCTTTGGTGGCGTTGTTCCATCCCTCAACAATTTGAACTTGTCTTTCTGTCGTCGCTTCGCGTGCGTATTTTCTTCGAAATGGCAGAGAACGACCCGGAAGATTAACAAAACTCAGTGTCTACGATACAGAGAACCTCGTTCGTTTTTATACCTTCAGGGATGCATAGACTGCCGACGCCGCATCGGTTCGTACAATCGACTCGGAGTGACTTAATCGTCACTTCGGTGTCGCGTCTTGCAAGCAACTGAAAAAGGGGTCGGCTTTCAAGGCAGAGTCGCAGAGTGTTAAGTAAGGAAAGTAATAGTGACCAGTTTGGATACCGACCCAACCATCCACCTTTTGCGGAGCCTGTGAGCTCCGTCTATGAGGCCCGGCCACTACAAACAGCTGATTTTTCCCTACTTGATTGCTTAAGTTATTCAAGCTTATCGCGTCCATCACTTCGCCGTCCTGCGTACCGCGCGAGCGTACGGTGCATCGCCGTACTCGGGAATGCGTAAACAAACTCGGACGGTGCGAAGTCTTGACATCGCGAAGGCTTGCCTGCACCGTCCAAAAGTAAGGAACGGTATGTTAGAAACAATCTCTCTTTGAATTCGGCACTTTACAAACCTTCGGCAAAGTGGGCCCAGCAAACAGGCGAGTTTACAGTTGGTTGCCAAAAAATTCCATGAAGGGGTCTGTCTCCGTAAGGCTTAATTTCGTTTCGCTCGCTATGTTTTGCCAGTTTTTTTTTTTTTAACGTGGCAAGACGCGAATGTATATTGCGTACGCCTAAAGAACGGGAAGCTTTATGCTGTTATTTTTAATTGAGTAGCGGGTACGGCATGATTACGACACAACCTCGTGTGCACGTTTACTATTAACAAAAAAAAAATGGTCAGAGTGCATGCGAGCTGGTGTAAGTTTAACATGATGGAAAACTTTATATATGAATACATCAAAGGATAGAACATCGAGGACAGGGACGGAAAAAGTACTTCTTTCAAGAAGTCCTGTATCCGTCCTCGCCCTTGATGTTTTATCCTTTCATGTATTCGTATCTATTCACCAACACTCCCATTTTCAATTATTAAACCTGAGACTGAAGTAAGAAAAAGAAAACGCAAAGGAAAAAACGGGCAAAGTCTCGAGAGACGTTGCCTGTTTTTTCTTTCTGTTTCCTTTTTGCCTTTTCCTTTTCCTACCCTAATTTCAGGTATACCATCATGTTCACGTTTACTGTATTTTAGTTAAAAGCAGAATGTCCCGCCGTCACATTGATAATCCAACCACCTGATACGGGGGCTCTCGTCATAGGCTTTTGAAAGCAGGGAAAAAAGGCCTGGGTGTTTGACATCGGGTGATTTCGTGCACCACCCGCCAAAGGCTGCTAGAACTTTATAAAATTTGGCAGTTTAACAATGTATGCTGCTATTTGTGCAACCTTCTGGTGAGCAATGGTGAGGCTATGAAGCCAAGCCGCGAGAATAGCGCAGGAGTCAAGCCTAACCAGCACTGTCTGAGCGACCGAGCGGACAAGAGAGAGAGAGCCACCAAAGATGGTGCCTTTTCCTTTCCTCCTCTCTCCCAGAGTCGGCGCATGCGCCCAGTGATCTCTGAAAAAGGTCAATTAAGAACAGCTCCTCAAAGCCGTAATCAGCCGAAACAGTATGACCCCATGTAACTAATACCCTGTTGATTCACCTTTGGCACGCAAAACAGTTTTACGGGTCATCTGCTGCGGCGTCACGTGTCAAACAGATTACGAATAGCCGTACTCGTAAACACTTTTACCTTGACCTGCGTTGTATCCATAAGCGACCGCCTATTTTGCCTCACCAAGCGGGAGACGCTCCGACGTGCACATTTTGTATGAGACGCGGACGGGCCCCCACTCCTTGGCGCCATGTATACTAGCAGTTTCAACATCGCTCTACCACTTTTGATATGGTATATACTAACGCCGGAAGCTCGAAAACACCCTACAAGCTTCGCAGCTTCCGAGATACCTGCTCCGAACCGTCGAGCCATTGGCATCTGACCTTTGTTAAAGTCGCTTAAATTGGAAGCCTTTTTTCCAATACATACGTAGTTGTCAAAAGGATTCCTTTCTGTCCCGGGTAATCGTTAACTGCCATCCGTAATGGTCGTAACGGTCGTGATGTTTTAGCTGATCGGTGTATAGTCATATACAGGGTGTTCTAAAAAGGCTTTCCAGATTTGTTAAAAAAAAAAAAGCGTAAAGCTACACTAATGCGGTATGGGCAGGTGAGTCATATAGACGCTTTGCAGCAGGTGTGCATTGGCGCCGCCATAGCCGACCTTTTGTTTTGATCACTTCATTATGACCACAGCAGGGCAGGTTACTGTGATTTTAGATACTGTGTCCTCCCCAGCACTGGCGTTTGTGGAAGCTCGTGAACGCCCGCTGCTCTGGCTGTGCATCTGGATTAGACAAGAGAAGGACAGCAATGGCGGCTGGAATCTGGAGCGTGTGCAAACGCGTCTATTTCTTACACTTGAAAGGCTGTCGTATGAACAACAAATAGCCCCCTATGTTATGCCCCCCCCCCCCCCCCTGCCAGTATAACTCACCTGCACGAATCGATTATAGAGTAGATATCAGGACTTTTTTTAAAAGAAATCTTTAAAACAAAGCCTAAAAAAAATTAAAAAAATAGAAAAAAAAACATTCTGCGTAAATTTTGCCTGATACGTAAATTACTTAATATACCCATTTATTATTTCATTTTCACGGAGCGCACAAAACTCGACTCCGAAACAACGGCAAAGTTTTATGACGCTGCAATGAAGGACCAATATATTATAGTGTCCCGAAAGAGGCATGCACCTACGGAGAGGAAAAAAACGAATCCCTAAAGACAAAGGATAACTTGACTTCCACCTGATGAAGCTCAGCTCGGGCCCTCTATTCGCCGACACGTTAAAAACGCATGGCGGGGCTTATGACGTTCACGCTTATTGCCTCAAGACGTAGCAAAATGGCGGCTCCCACGAGAAAATCGTGGCATGAAAAACTGCTTTAATCGATGAGACACTTTTATAGCCTGCTGCATCGCGTTTGCAACAAACGGCACAAGTCTTCCTAATCAACCCGACAAGTGAGCAATTTAAGAAATAAAATCCTAATATATTGAAAATAACTTTTGGTCTTGTCCACACTCTATTTTGCGGAAAAAGGGGAAGGGGGGATTGTACACCGACACAACAGGTTAAAACGACCAGAAACGTTTACTGCGAAACAAGCATTTCCAACGCGCGGCAGAACTGCGGACATTTATGTTTCTCAGTCACTTCACGTGCACCGCACGTCTAGGAGGTGCTTCGTCATCGTCCGTGCACGGCTTCTCCGAAAATCGGCGGCACACAGCCGATTCACAAATGCACTCGCACGACCAGCTTTACGATACCGCGGGGAACACATCAGCCTAAGACACAATGGAGTTGTAGGCGTAACGGTGACTTCACCGCGTATATACCTTGCCGTCTTAATTCGTCGGGTGTCCACAATGTCCGAGGTCAACCGCGTAAACGACAGCAAGTTGCCACTCCTACCAAGACAAACAAAGGCGAGGAAGCATACCAAAACATTGTACGTACAAAGGAACAGTACGTGATGGATTACAAAATGCATTGATGCCGCCATGCGCCTCCAGTCTGTCGTCTGCTCTTTACAACAATGTAACGAGAGAAGATAAAAACAACGAAGTGACACGTTAGCGAAACTTTGCAAGTGGAACTTCGTCTAGAACAATCCTCTGCAGCGAGCATTGTTCTGGACGCTGTAGACGCCACCACAGGCCGAGACAACGGTAGTGCGATAACTGTGTGCTTAGGTGTTGAGTGCGTGCTGGCATTTAAGTTCGACCGTGTTCATTTCGTACCATTACAAGCTGTTGCTATTGGCAAACAATATTGGTTACTTTACCCGCAGCCTGAGCTGTTTGTAAAGCAACCTCTTTCGGGCTTCTCAGATGTGGGCCTTCTTTAAAAACCAAGAAACCAACCAAGATAGCAAATTACCTATAAAAGCAAACCGTTCAGTCATCAAAAAAGGATGTAAGCACGTGCACGATCATATAAAAAAGGCGCCAAACGGCCTTCCTCTCTCTATTTACACTCTGCCTATTTTTCTATTGAGTAATTGCACATTTACGGAGGGAGTCATGAGCCTTTCCTAAAACTCTGACACGCGGGTTAATTTTTACTTTCTCATTTGGAAACAGTGCTGACATCCATAATATGAACAACAAACAATACTGACCAGGTTCGTTTTTGCGATGGAACGTTGGGAGCGGTGGCTCGGCGTGCACGAAACGTATTCGGTTTTCTGTCACACTTAAAGCTCGAATGGTCTGAGAGAAAAACAAGTGTTACCTTACTAACAGAGCACGATTAGCCATTGTAAACATTTACATCTGAAAGCCAAGCAAGCGAAGACCTCGACCTTGCAGTTCGATCATGCATGCCACAGTCTCAGGCAAATGTTCTACCACAAATAAGGGCTCTTACACCAAGCTACCATTCAGCAGACATATGAAGACATAGCGTTCCCTGCACATTTGATCGCCTGCGTAACAGCTAGCCATTAGGAGGTCCGCGAGATCAAAAAAGCCGCTGAGATGACCGAGCACAGACAGATGTTCTAGCAGCGTGTCACCAACGCAAGGAAGTTGAGGGCCTACAAGGACACAGTTGCATCCGCGATTAGGTTTCGAGATTGCAGAGTTAGGAATTGAGCCAGGTCTTTGCTTTCTCCGCGAAGTTCAAAGGAAGCGGCTTGAGCCATCTAACGTCGCACTCTACTGGCATTGTCGGCTGGTCTGTCATCCATTGCAGGCTTTCGTCTCCTCAAAAAACCACCACGCCACGTATGTGCCACTTACGTGAAGATGTCAGCGAGCAGTCTGCAGTGAAGAACTGAACCACGTAAAAGTTTTGAGTGATGAAACACTGTACGTGTTCTAGACAGTCAAATCGATATGCTACTTCAGCAAAAACAGAAGAGTAAAGAACTGAGAGCCGCATCACTGTTGTCACTCATGGTAGTTCCGGCAACGTGGTAGGCCACTTCAACAAGAAAGTCAGAATTGAAGAAGTAGCAGCGACAATATTGGCGCTCATGGTAGCTCAGATAACGTGATATTCCACGTCAGCAAGAAAGTCAAAGTTGAAGAACTTGGAGCGACATCACTGTCGTTCATGGTATTCCACAGCAGGGCACACTTGACGCTGCCACCTTGTTGCCCATACGTGCGGATCCTACGTGATTTAGGCTTAGGCAAGCCAGGTTTGCGAGGCATCCATGCGGAGTTCTCGTTGCGCCTTGCGTATGTGGGCGTCCAGGGGCTCAGATTTGTCCAGTTTGGGATGGATGAAGGCGGTCAGAAAGTGGCACGTTCCTTTTACCTGCTCCGGAAAGCCAGCCGGCAGACACTCCCGAGGCCGGGCTTCAAACCGGAAACCATCAGTCTGAACCAGTAGCCTGCACCAAGAAATACGTTCGAGGCATGCATTTGTCTCTGAGCCGCTATATCTCATATTACAGGGAACTGAAACATGAATAGTGTCAGCGGCGCTCAGGTCAGAGCAGCACAAAATACGTCTGGGTAGTTACGGGTACACTAAGCTAATAAAATATGGGTTTGGAATTAATTGCAACATTTCCTATTGTCACGAATTGCCTGTCGGTTTTATAGCCTAGCATGCCAGAGACGCCTTGTGCAACATTTCTATCTCTTTTAACTGGCAATAAACTGGTTCAGCACACATTTCCGCTGACTGTACATTCCAATGTAAAATATAGGCGAGTTGACCAGCGCAGAAAAACTGCTTACGCGGTGTCTTTTATGTTCCGTGATAGAACGCTGATACAATATCCATCTTTATCCAAGCCGGCTGATGTGGAGGATTTTTACTTCCGACCACTTGGGTTCATTACCGTCACTGTACTACTCAAGCAAAAGAAATCTTCAGGTTCACCTTTATATATGCTTCCTAAAGTTGGCTCTCACCACAAAATTGAAACGAAACAAGACGCCAAAGCAAGTTTTCGTTCCCAGTTGCTTTTTTTTTTCTTTCGTTTTTGTACGTCTCCTGAACCATCCGCACGGTAAACAATCTTATATCCGGCAGCTTGTGGGCGGTGCTCTCAAATGCACCGGCGGCGGGAGAGCAATGTACACATCAAAATGCTTTGTTTGCACCGGCACTCGCGCAAGCCGAGTTCTTCCTCACGCCATGGTCTTGCGTCTGCGCCTTCCACACATTCTACAAACCACTCTTGAGATGACATACGATGACGGGCATTGGGGAGGATGTTCGCCAGTAGCGCCTCTGGCAGCTAAGATAAGAACTAAACACACGGGGACAACAACAGCATGATTTATCGTTTTGTGTTTCTGTACGCTCGGCTGACCTAGCCGAACGCTGCGCCAGCGTTAACGCAATACTTGTGCCCACTATACGCCGTTAAAGGCCGACGACCAGATTCAAGATTCTGCAAGGCAGAAGATCCTCCTCACCATGGGGGAGGAGGAAACAGGCAACAGTGGGCAGGGTAGAAGAGGGAAATGCGGAAAAGAGGGAAAAGTGGAAAGCGCGACCTGGGTCGCCGGTCTTTAAGAGTACAGATGACGTAGATAGCTCTGTCCAATGGCCTTGTGTTGGCTTGAACATTGGGCTCAGTGGGAAAACGAGCCGCACAAAGAGCCCCTTATAGTTTGTTCTCCCCACCACATTGTTCTCACCTGTGGGTAGTCGGACTGACGTTGATACGTAGGGGCACGCTACCGGACTCGAACCTGTTGGCCAGGGACACGTCGTTGCCGATGAGGCAGTAGCGAGGCATCTTGACGCCCACAACCCCGGCCAGCACCAGCCCCGTGTGAAGGCCGATGCGCATCTGCCAAGGGCAGAGAAGAACGAACAGAGTCAAGCAGCAACGGCACTTTAGCACATTCAAAAAGAAAGTGAAAAAAAAAGAAAAGAAACGGGGCCGTGTTTCTCTGGCGCTTCGCTGAAGGCCACGTCGAACTGATATTCCGCCGATTAAATTGAGACGAACTCCGTGGCGTATAGCTAAGCATCAAATATGTCCGCGCATATTCATTCAATAAAACTCTTTTGTTCCTCCACTTTTTTTTTGTCTCTGCTTCTTTACCTGCTAAGGATCTAGCGCGATGACGGCATTCGCCATGTCTCATTCGAAGGCCAAACGCTGTTTCTATTTTCTGGCGTCTCAGTGCGACGAACGCTGAGACTCAGTGCGCCGCGCTGCTTTTGTTCAGCGACGTCTTCTTCGGTCGTTTTTTTTATTTTTTTATTTTGTGTGGCAATGTGAAGACGACTTCCAGTGTGCGTCCCACTTTTATCGTAGAGCTGAGCCAACCGCAACAAGCGCTTATCCAACGGAACAAGTGCGCATGTGCACGCCATCCCTCGTCTGATCACGCACACGCGGAGCAACCTATACCACCCGAGAATGCCTGCGATAAAGAGAGGAAGAGGCGCGATGGAGGAGAGAAAATACGAAAAGGAAGTCAGATCGTTTTATGTTACGAATTAGAATTTTCCGGGGCAAAAGGGGGAAGGGGGGGGGGGGTGCATCTGCGTTGAAGTTTAAACTGCACGGACAGTTCAGAGCGGGCTGTGTTTCGGACAGTGGCGCAGCTAGGCCATGCGGCATCAGAGGCCCTCAGGTATTTCTTAGCCTCCCCCCATTCACTCCCCGAGATCGCATCTAGTAAAGCGGGGGAAGGTGGGGGGGATGCCGCCACAGGTGGCACCCCTCTCTTATTCACTCCCCAAGATCGCAAATGGTAAAGTGGGGAAGAAGGGACCGATGTGCCCCCCCCCCCCCCCCCCCCCGTAACTGGACGCCTGGTACCCAAAACCCAGAGCCCCCGGAACCCCCCCCCCCTCCCCCATCCCTTTACTACGCCACTGGTTTCGGAACGATAAAACCGTGTCGGGGATTATTTTTCTTATAATGACTCGCCGCTGTCGTTTTCTCCAACCTATACGGCGGAACCTCTCGCCATATTCGCTCCAATTCCTCCACTCGTGGCAAGCGCCATTAGCGGAGGGACGGTGAATCGTGCATTCACTCGTCAGGTCTGATCGAGGCCGACGTATTAATGGAAGCGTCCTCTACTCAGTTCACGCCTACGCCGACAGCGCAATGGAAGATAACGCGTTCGCCGCACCAATTAACCGCCTCCGCTTTCGCCGCTCAACCCAGCTCTCTGTGCGTTGGGACGGGCCGGGGAAGCGTGATCACGTGGCAGAAGGTCGACGCATGACTGGTTCGACGATTTCGTAGCTTTCCACCGCACTGTCAGCTTGAGGCTGGGCCGTGGATCGATTCCAACGCACAAGACCGTCGGGGAGCGACGGCGGACGCGGAGGGTCCGAGACCACTGCTTGCAGACTTCGAAGAGGGTAAGAAATGATACGCAACTAAATTTAGAATGTGTAAACTAAAGAACGGTCAATAACTAAATCGAGCTTTCTAATATAGAAAGGGAATCCCATAGAGACAGTTAAAAGTACGGAAAGGGACAGGAGAGCGAAACAAGATGAAGGCCCACGAGCAAACAGTTCGTTTTTTCCTCTTTGAGTCCTACGAAATCCGTTTCTTTAAAAGGGGGCAAAAAAAAAAAAAAGAGACGCCAACACGTGAATAAGAGAAGCGTAGCAGTAACAAGTACTGAGCCATTTCTACGCAAGCATGGCAAACACACACACACAAACACACACACGCAGACACACGCACGGGTGCACGCAAGCGCACACACACACACACTCACACACACACACACGCACACACACACACACACACACACACACACACACACCCAAAGCCAGCAAAACAGAACCACCCACATACGTACTGAAGTAAAAAAAAAGTGGGAAGGGTAAAAAAGCGGAGTTACTAGAAGACTGTGAACATCAGCGGAAGCATATCAAAATTTGTTTTCCCGAAAAATAGGGAGACAAGAAACAACTAAAAAACAAGATGAAAATAACAATCTTAGCAGCAAATAAAAAAAAAAAAGTTATCCGACTGGGATATTTAAGAACCGCACAAAAAGCAAACGCGCGCACAAATAAGGTACTAAGAATAATAAAAAAAGAAAAATAGAAACGAGAAGTAAAAGAGAAGGGTGATAGGGAGACCGCATAAAGCTATCAACCTGAACGAGACTCCATTTCCGTCAAATATTCGCTAAATTTTTCAATCTCGGCGAAAGCACCATTCCAACTTGGACGAGCACGCACTGCCGCCCCACTCCCTCTCTTTATCTCCCCCTGTGCCTCCGAGCGTCGTTCAAGTCGTCTGCGAGAGCCACGGAAGCGAAGCCGGAGCCGTGATTAATTTAGTTGAGATCGAGATTGAGATTGCGCAGCTACCGTCCCCCAAACAGAGGATATATATAAGCCATGAATTTGTTCTTAGAACTCCGTTGCACCTGAACCGCACTCAAACCCTGCGGAGCCATCCGAGCCAATCCAATCCCGTGCGAGCGTCACGTGACCTTCGAGACTGGGCGCAACACTGTGCGCATAGTCGGCCGGGTCACGATAAGAAGCACCGCGTAGAGCAAGTCGTCTGCTTCTTGCGCGCCGAGCCAATCCAATCCCGTGCCAGTCGTCTGCTTCTTGCGCGCCGACCCAATCCAATCCAATCCCGTACCAATCGTCTGCTTCTTGAGCAGGAGTTGCGGTAATAATAATAATAGGGATATAATAATAGGGAATATAATAATAAAATAATAATAGGGGGTAGTTCTTGAGGCATCTAGCATTGAGCTCTATTCAGTATCCTTTCAATCGCAGCCAATCAGAGCTCGGCATCGTTCTGACGTCATCACCGCAACTCTTGCGAAAGAAGCAGACGACTTGCTGTCCGTACAGTGCCGTCCACTTGTCCATCGTACCGGGATGGATCGCGCAGAGCGTCTGTCGCGGTCCACCGTAAGTCGAATATAGTTGGGAGATTCGCGGCAGCGACGAACCCGGCAATAAGATGGAAGACAGAACAAGTTACGAAGTCTCACAATTTAAAATTTTTGTTCTTAAAAATTTATATATATTTTTTTAAAGTCGAGAGCGTATTGTGGAGTTAAAAAAAAAGTGCCATAGCCCGAGGTTAGAAAATCCAAATTACGTTTTATAAGTGGTTAGAAACGATTGCTCCTTAGAAAAAAAAAAATATCAATTTTGAAGGGTACCTTATTCTTTTAATAGTTCTGTTTTTGAACAATTTTCCATCGTTATATAACGCATATTTAAATGTGGCCTTTTTTTAGGAAGTTAATTAGTATACCACACACGAGTACAACTAAAGCGTGCAAGCATAAAAAAAGAAAGCTTAAATATAATTGTTAAGTTTGCTAGCGGAGGTTTCATCTTATCAGTATTCAGCCACGATGAAAAAGTTATCTGCGTGTTTCAGGCATATATGTAGGGTGTTTCACGTACGAGTGACAAACATTCCTGCAATTAGCGTAATTTAGATTAAAAAAAATATATATATTTTCTCGGGATCCAATTACTGTAGTGGCGGACGTCAGAAAATGCGCAATACTTTCCAATTAGTCCGCTAATTAATTGAAAATGGCTAATTAACTTTTTAATTAGTGAAAATAGAAATATGGTTCCAATTAGGAACCTGCTGAGCGTCATCGAAAACCACTAAATCGGTCATTTTCACAAAGACGCCTTGAACCTGCTCCACGAGTGGTAACTTCAGCGCACTACTACGCTTTTCACGCGCTCCAAAGTTTTTCCGAAAATGACTGGTTTAGTGGTTTTCGATGACGCTCAGCAGGTTTCTAACTGGAACCATATATCTATGTACACTAACTAAAAAGTCAATTAGTCATTTTCAATTAATTAAAAAACAAATCATTAAGTATCGCGCATTTTCTGACGTTCGCCCCTACGAGTAATGCGGTCCCGAGAAAATTATCCTTAGACCTCGAATACACTAATTTTAGGAATATGTGTTCCTCTTACGTGAAACACACTGTATATGTTGGCTTCATCCCCGTGTATGCTTAAAAACATGACCGCAGACGGTCTCTGTGTGACCATTGTGACAACCGTCATACGAGAAAAAAAAAAAAAAAAGAAAAACGCCTCACACGGTCTTTACAGACCGTCTTTTGTACGATGTAGACGCCGTGTAAAAAAATTCAAACGCAAAAAAAAAAAAAAACTAAGTGCGAAGTAATATTTAAATGCAAATGCGCTTTATTAAAAATGTAAAAAAAGAAAGAAATAGGGGCATGTGAATATTCATTTGAATCGAATAGCCCTGCGTCATTCACAAGGGGAAAGCCACGGCAACAGGTTTTCTTAACGGTGTTAGAGCTATATAGGGGTGACTGTGTTATTCGAATCGAACAGCGGTATTCGCACATCTTTGTACGCGTTTTCACCTAAAAAAACGTAGATAAAAAAAAATAGATCCCGTTTTTGTTGCGGAGTATTAGTAATTAAAAAAAGAAAAAAAAGAAAAGAGAGTCTGTTTTCGTTGTGGAGTATTAGTAATTTCACTTTTTATGTGGGGAATTAAGACATATGCAGGCGCTTTTAGATAAGATATATATGTTACCCTATCGAGACATACGCGTTTCAAACGCCAAAGACGTCGCTTCTTTCTTCGACAACCAAATTTTGGAAGAACTAGTAATGTGCAAATTTTTTTTTAAAATCTTTTTAGGCGTAAACGAGTAGTATAGTGAAAATATTTCAGAATTGGAGACCACCGGTTCAATCCCGAGATTATTTTAAGGAACTGGGGAGGTTTAGGAGTCGAGCCAGAGCCGCCAAGAATAATCATAGCCCGCGTGGGCTATCATTTTGAGGTAATCACAGGTGAGGCCGAGCGCAGAC